GTGTCCCTTTGAATTCCTTTACCAAGAAGCGCAAGGCCGCAAGGGAGGCTGTGCACTTCCACGTAACGATACCCGAACATACGAGAATCCGCACTCGGCCAAGGAAATCCCGTTGTGATAAACTGGTGGATGGGAGTCCCACTTTGGTATCACCGAACGGCTTAGTTTGCATAACCATGCACCTGCGGTTCCCCGTTTCTTTGGGGGCATTCATGCCGCAGTTTGTTTTGCGCCCAAGGATTCCTAGAGCTGACGCAGATGCGGACGAGCAACAGCCTGACAGGCAAGATCCCGTTGGTTTTAATGGTATGGAGTTGTTTTTGTGTGAGGGGTACCCTTTTTGAGTTCAACCGTCCTGTTTGAGGGGCTGAATAAATTTCACCTGTCTCTGTTTTGCCACACAGGTCCAATCAAATCTTTTCGGCGCTATTCTGAAGCTGGCAAGCTGAGCGGTCTTGGGTTTCATGCGGGCCTTGGGATATCCTGAGAAGCCGAGAGGAGGTTGGGCTTGAACCCCAGCAGTGCAGGAATCAAGATCGGGGATGGGTTTTACGTTGGCTTTCTTTCATTATCTTTATGTGCTGAATAAATTAATCCGCGGCAGCAAAAGGGGCCTGGGGGCATTTTGCTTTACTTGAAGGAAAGCCGAGAGCGGGTAAGATGTGATGAACACTCTGCTGTTGCCATTTGCATGTCTAGATGGTTATATGTGTTGGTCCTGCTTGTGGTGGATGGGAACCTGCCGCAAGACGTGAAACAGAGGCACAGACAGGTGCGCAGCTTACACTGTGGATGTAAGCAAAGCAACGGTCCAATGGAGCAGTGAGGACATCTTGCAAAAGGACGTCACCTGCAAGACTGCAAGGGCGGTCATGAATTTTGGGACATCTTGTGAGAGTCCCTTTAGAGAAGTGAAGCAATCCAGGAATAGACAGGATTCCCAGTTGTCAATAAGTGAATTCGATCGACCCTTGTCCCTTTTTGTCTGGTAGGTTCCTCTGCAACAAATGGTCAACCGCGAAAAGGGTTCCTTTTTCTACCAGGATTCACGGGCGACGTGTTTGGTTTAGATGCTTTCAATGTTTCGAGTCAGTCCAAGCATGCGGAGACATGAGCAGTTGCCAACTGGTAAACCCATCATGGCGGAATCGTCGGTCTTCCAGAACTTGCTGGCATCATGTTGCTGACATTGTGAAGACCATGCCTTTAAAGGCGACCCACTACTTCCGCTTGCTGAAATGAATATTGTTTGTTATGTTCCCCTCTTGGTCTGAAAAGGAGTTTGTCACTACTGGACATATTTTCTTTTATTTTTTCCAGAATCCTTAAGCAAATGGAAGACTAACATAGCTTTCACCAAAGGGTCGCTAAACGTACTCCAGGACTTGCTGACCAACCCCATGCCTAGGTGACCCATAGACTGCGTGGACCCCAAGGGTTCCAGAAATCCGCTTCGGGGCGTCGAAGCTCTCAGGCCGAGCCTTGCTCTGCGGCTGCTGCGGAAAGGGGTCAGCGACCTCAGAAATCCCCCGCGTCTCTCAGCCGCGTTGCTGCCATATGAATCAACCAACCAGTCGATTCATCAGGGCTCCTTAAAAGATCTCCATGTTGCAACCATTTGAAACATGGCTTTTTCCACCAAAATAAAGGGACACCACCATGTACAAGGCAATGTTCAGGTGCATAATGTAAGGATCCTGGTCTGATGACTAAACCAACCAACCAACCAGCTTTTTGCTTTTGGGGTGGTTTTTGGCCCCTCCAGAAGTAATTTGATTCCCCACATTTCACTCAGGGAGCAGCACCCCCCCCTCATTCATAAACTGGGGTTCATTAATATGGGGTCAACATTACCCTGGTTTTTTCTTATCGATGTTTAGGCTTTAGAGGCAGTTGTGAGGTATCTCACTGAGCACGAGGGTTCCACGAACCACTCAGTTTGGGTTGGCCGGGACCTGATGGCTAGGTAGGAAGTATCCATCAGACGGTTTGGTTTGCCTTGGGCCTGTCAGTACCCGGTGCTCCGACAGGTAGTTGTGGCAGAAGTGCGAGCGGAACCTGCCATGACGGCTGCAGCCCCAGCGGCTTGCCAAGGCAGAGATTCAGCAAGATGGGGTCAGCGCAACCATGCTGTTTGCTTGGCCTTCTTAGTTCTCTAGGTCCCCCAGTAGTGTCCTTTTTCTCACCCCTTTTTTGGAGGAGGGCTCCCTTACTAAAATAGACTACAGACAAAGTTGGTACCCTGATTCTAGCCTCTCTACTGGAGGACCAAGTTAAAAGTGGCAAGGATGTGGACTGCGCCGCATTCTAAGCTGCTGGTTGATGTCCGCTAGCTTTGTAGTTGGCAGATTCCAGGCCGTCCTGCATGCAGTAGACGCTACTCAGCGGGAGTCAAGAATCAGAAGCAATGGCGGTCCCTTACATGGAATGACCATTAGGGAGAGCACCAAAAAAGATGACGTTCACCACTAAATGGGAAGAGTTATAAATGGTCATTTTGGGCAGAAGTATTGATCACCCCCGTAAGCAGCAATGATACTCATTGAGTATAGGCCACAATTCGAGGAGTGTCAAACGGCTCAAAATCTGGCGCCGCGTGAAGCAAGCTGGGTCCATGATCAGTATTGTTTGTGGCTTGTATGGCAAGACTCTGGATATAAGCGAGGTTCCATGAACTCAGCAGTGCCATCACAGACCTTTTTGCTAAACCACTATGCCTCTCTTACTTCCCTCCTGCTAATTTGCAGGGGTGTAAGCTGGGCAAGTAACAGTTCTGAAAGTGGCAAAGTTCCACCTCAAGCGACACCATATTGCACTTGTTGGCGGTTACCATTCGGTTTGTGTGGCTCGTCTTGCTGGCTTCGTTTTGGGACTAAATGCCTCAAACCAATCGGGTCTGAGTATCTCCAGATGTTGCCCTCATTGGAGGGGGAGCAGCGGTCACGACATTGGACACCTGAGGCGCAAAACATATGGCACACAGTCAGGACATAGTGTTTTCTGTGTTCCCGTTGCCAAGACAACCTGTTGACCTTTGTTTTCCCAGCTTTGGACCAGAATTAGTTGGCCCCAAAGGTGATCACCATGTTTTTTTTTTTTTTTTTTTTTTTTTTTTATCTTCCCCCTTTTTTTTGGCTGGGTGCAAACTGGGCTTTCCGCGAGGGCACGAGTGGTCGCGTTCGCGCCGAAGCGTGGCTCGTTTCTGCCGCTTTCAGGTCCAAGAGCTGAAAGAGAGCCTCGCGGAGATCCTCGGCACTGCTGCGGAGGCGGGGGACGAGGGGGCCGACCGTGTTGCTTTCAAACTGAAGACTGGTTGTCGCCTAGTTCCTAACAGTCCATCTCTTGGGGGGAGAGAGGAGGGGTTTTCCGCAGTGCGGCTCATGTTAAATAACAACGGCTTGAGGGCTTTATCAAATACTCCAAAGGTGCTTTGGCAACGATTTCAGTTTGGTTTAAAGTAGATCCAAGGCGTGCGTTTCTGCTTAGAAGTTAACCATGAGCCAAATGGCGGCAAAGTGGCGGCCGAGTTGATGCCCAAAAGGAGTCTTTGAGCCATGTGTGTTTTTCTTTTACAGGGAGACAGTGGGATAGGCAAGCATGTTGTTCAAACAGAACAGGAAGTCGTTTTTGAAATAATGGGCACTCAGTTGCTGAATGACCACCCAACAAGTGCAGCCAGTGTTTGGTCTATGTTAGTCTTCCCCCAGCGTTTGTGTGTGAGCGAGAGGGATGAGTCTTGTACCCTGAGACCTAGAATGCCGCACGAACATGTTTGGCTGCTTTCCTCGCGAAGTGGGTGTGTCGTTTTCGAGGGAACCTTTTTGGCGCAAACGACCCTTCTTATGCCCCTAGATTAGTACATACCCAAATCCATGCGGCATTGAATTTGGTGGTTGGTTGCTAGCTGCCTTGACAGAAGTTGTAGGGAAGCAACCAAAGGACCGAGGAAGTGTTTCGATCGAGCCTTGGAAGGGATCCTTAGAGTTCTGAGAACCATGGTGGCTAGGGGGCCTCTACTGATCCCCAATCTGGTTCCACTTTTGCTCTTTGAGTAGTTCATGCCTGAAAATGTCTTTGGACTTATCTCTTTGGACTCATGTCACGGCGTTTCTCGTCGGGCTGGTATTCAAACCGAATGCTGAAGGCTCCCCGAAGAGGCAACCCCATGTTGACTAGTGCGGTGCCTCTCGGAGAGCCTGAAATTTGTATTGATACTGTGGGTGGTTGCGAAATCCAATTCGCACCACTTTGAAACCATAGGAAACCATAACGCTTGTTGGTATGGGGAAGCATCACCCCAGGGTTTTTTTAGGTGGTGCCTGAGAGGATTTCGTCCATCCACAGTAGGTTCCACAGCACGCGGAATTTGTGGAGCCAACCTCTGAGAACATTGGGGCATGTGGTCAAGACATGGGGTATGTGTCAAGCTAGAAAACCCCCTCACAAATGCTCGGTTTTTCTTTTGGTTTTCCCTTTGGTTTTCCTTCAAACCAAGTTCCGAACAGGGAGAACATCCCACTTTTGCCCAGCCACCCCACAAATGGTCGGCTGGTTTTCCTTCAAACCAACCCCACAGGGTACGGAGCCTAGCCAAGGAACCTCCCTTCTTTTGGTGTGCAGCTGGCTTGGTGGGCCGAGCCCAGGACCAACGCCTCTTCTGGCGGCTTCGGAGCTTGCCGGACCGGCCGCATGAGGAACTGACAATGGCTAAGAGAGCCCAGGCAGTTCAGCACCACAGGTATTTTTTGCGCATGGTCTCAGTGATTGCCTTGCTTACCTATGTAGGGAGGTGGAGTCACTAGGTACTGGGATCTGGATTGGAGAACTTCAACAAGAAACATGATAGTTTGGAGAGAGGAGAAGGGAGGCAAGCTCGGGCTTCCCTGCAACAGCCAAAGGATCACCTTTGCTGCAACGTTGTCTTGGGAACACATGTTATAGCCCCCCGGGTATGTGGTGACCTGGTGGGTCCGCAAATGAGACAGAGGAGGGGGATGTTTTAGTCTGTTTGTCCAAGCGTTCCCGAGCCACATACCTTTGGACTGTTGTTCTTTAGCACTCCTCCTTCCCATGGATGTGGGTGCGGCTTTTTTAAGGGGACGCCCCAACATGGATTTCGGTTGTCCTTTTGTTTTACATGTAAGCACAGCAACCAGGGGTATTCTCGGAAAAGATACCCCCATGGTCTTTGTTGTTTCTGATGATGGCCGGACTGGTCAATGGGACTAGCAGTGTCAGCATGCATTCTTTGCTCTGGCAACACACCGACACATTGCTTCTACTTTTGTTTGGGCATAGCTGCGCATCAAACAAGGTGTCTTGAATTTGGACTTGTTACAAACACATTGTGCACAGGGATGTGAAGGATCGCATTATCGAGCTGACCAGATCTCTACTTACAGGCGCGATCGGCTACTTAGTAATTAAGTGGTTAGTAAGCCTGGTTATAACCCACAAAAGGTATGGCTATAAGCCTTCTAAGTGGCTTATAACCAGGCTTACTCACCATCTACCTGACGTCCCCGATCGCCCCTTTAAGTAAACTTGCAGTAATTCGCTCGGCCTCAAGCCCGAAGAGATTTTTTTTGCAACCGGCGCTCGCTCCCCGGCCGATCGCCGATCGCCGATCGGTCGGTTCTTTTGGTCTGCCGATCGAAGTTTTCTCGAGGACTACAGCAGCTTGAGAGCTTGCGGCCTGAGCTCCGGGGAGCCGCTCGGCTCGGCTCAGCTCGGCTCGGCTCGGGTCGGATGGGCGCTCGCTCTCTCGGCTGAGTTACGCCCTTTCCGGGGGGTCCGCTTCTGGTGAGCCCAGCTGGCAGAAAGGAGAAAACAAAAAACGGCAGGGTGAGAACGGGAGCCAAAACTCGACCGACTCCTGGAGTTCCTGGAGTTGTGGTTTTTGTGGTTTTTGGCTTTTTGCGAAAGGCGGATATTTTCAGTGCCAAAGAAAGAGGAACACGTGGTTGTTCGGCCATTCCACTCAGGAAGGTGTGTTGAGCAATGCTGGCGAGAACCTTCCATTGAAATGGAGGACTCCTGTGAGAAAGGGGGCCTTCAGCAGCCATGGAGGTGATTGGATTTTGTTCCAGTTGCCCCGGTGGCACCAAGTCGGTGGCACCAAGTCTCCGTTGTTGGTTTGGACTATTGGGCTGATTCAGATACCCTGCGACATGGATTGGGATGATTGGGGCTCGAGTATTCAGCGCAATTCTCTCGCACAAATCCGACCTTTGACCTTTTGGTTTCCCCGTGCTGGTACATGTTTAGTCCTGGCGCCATAAGGTGATCACCTTATATGTCTGGGTTCTTTGGGCAACTGAGGCAATCAAGAGGTTCTATTTCCCCAAAAGGGCATGGGTGATGCTTGCAGGTCCCATTTTTGGCCCCCCACCCCGTGGGTAAATTTTGCGATGTCTCAAAAGGAATTTGAGGTCCTGGGGGGTTGCTCTGCTTGGAATCCCTTGCTGTCAAAATGAAAGGCCCACAGAAAGGTTCCCCCCAGTTCAGTGCATAGGCTCTAATTTGTTTTATCAGCCCTCCAGAAGGGTTCCCTTTTCCCTTCCGTTTGGGTCACTGAGCAACTGACAGCTTGGGTGTTTGTGATACCCATTGTTGCTGTGAAAACCAGCCATTTTGAGGAGATCTCCCCGTTTTGACACAAAGTCGTGGGTCATATTAAACTGGTCAGGTTTTCCCGGCTAAAATGGAAAACACAAACACCCAAGCGGTCAGTTGCTCACATTAAAATGGTCAGGTTCCCTTTTTCTCCCCGGGTCGTCACAGAAAGCCCATGTTCCGCAGTTCCGCACCCGACTGCTCGCGTTTGAGGCATGAGCTTACGCTGATCCCTGAGCTTTCTCACCGCGCCACAGGACGTTACGAGAGTGTCGACCTTTGATTCGACTCCCCTCCCCAAAAAGTAAGCTCAGGTGATATCCCCAACAGCATGCGGTGCTCTTTTTAGTGCTCGCACCAAGCCGCAGCCCTCACAGAATTTCGTGGAACCCTCGTGGAACCTTGGTGAAATCCTGGTGGAACCTTCGTGGAACCTTACCTCAGGGCCGCCCCGGACCACCCCGGAGCTTATCTGGGCTGAGACCCCAAAGCTTTCAGCTGTTGGGAAACAATATATTGAGGTGGGGTCCCATGTGGCCATATTTTTACATAGGAAACAACGATATTCAATGTGGAACACGGTAAAAAAAAGAGTTGGTGGACATGAACCCCGATGTCAATGTATATGGTGTCCACCAAGGGGTCCCTGCTAAAATGGAGAGCCACAGCTGGAGATGAAGGGCATAGGCCAACTGAGCAAACTTTTGGCAACCAAATTTGCCGAGATACTAGTCTAGGTCCCCCAGCTAGGTGCCCTTGTTTTGCCCTTGTTTGGTTGGGAGGGTTCCCCTACTAAAATAGACTACAGAACTTGACTGCTATTGGGTTGGATCTAACTTGACTGCTATTGGGTTGCATCTTTAGACTTAACCTTTTTGGAAATCAAGAGGGTTTCCACTACACCCCCAAACAGTTATTCGCTTTTTGCAGGGGGGTCAACAGCAACAAAGCAAAAGAAGGGTACCCGCCTTCTAACCTCTCTACTGGCGGACCTAGTAGTGGTTTCGACAACTTCGAGCCTCTGCTCAGATCGCACTGACTGATTTGGGCAGTTTAAAGTTTAGATCTTACCTGCGGGGAATGTGGAACAAACTCGGCCAGCCAGTACCACAAAGAGAACGAAGTGTGAGAAAAATGAGGAGCGGTCGGCCTTGGATTACCCCCTACTCCAAATACCCGGCATGTTTTCAGGGTAGCAGGTCGACCCTCTACCAAAAAGGAGGTACTTACGGTGGAAAGCTAGGTTTTCCCAACAATACCTTGTTAAAAGCGGGGCATGTTGAGTAAGGGGTAGGTATCCTGGGTCTCCTTAAGTCAGTTCAGTTGCATCGGTGCCCAGGAGTGGCGCCCATCTGCGCAAGACGAGGCCACGCCGGGCCCGTCCCCACAGCGGGATTTTTAGACATTTGAGCAGCACCCAAAGCCCCAGAAGGGACAATTTTGTAGGTGCTTCCACTGCCTGGTTTCATGGGGGGGGTTAGAGTGAGGCCTATCTAAACCTGTTAAAAAAAAAAAAAAAAAAAAAAAAAAAAAAAAAAAAAAAAAAAAAAAAACTTGAACCAAAAGTGTATACACCTGTATAATTTCGATATTGGTAGAAACAAGTCAATGGGTTTGTTTAGTTTTAGTGACACCGTGCGTGGCTGAACCAAAACAATTACACTTCGATTTCCGATTTTTCAGGGGAGAATTCCATCGAATTGGCTCCTTTACTTGTCGCTCGCTCTTGCGATGAACCGATCGGATGCTTTAAGGAACCCCACCAGCGTGGAGAGCGCGGCTCTTTGTGATTGAGGGGCCCTTTTTAGTACCCCGTAGTTGGTGCTTTGGTGGTTTGGGGATTTGAAGAACCAGTGTAGAGTTCGAATGCAAGCTACCCCCCCCCCCAAACCTCCAAACCACCCAACCACTAATTAGGGGGAAGCTTATTTTGTGCCAACAAGATCTCCAATTGCACAATCTTCCTGCGGACTTCGGCTTGTAGGTGGGTAGCTCCAAGCCTTCAAGCACCTTGCCATAGCTCAGGGTTTCCTCAATTTCCCTTTGTGGAACCTCCAAAAGTGGCAGTTCCAGTGGAAACCGTCAGTAAATTGCAGCTTTTGAAGGGGAAATCCAGTGACCCCTGTAGCTTGCAGGGATTGGCTTTTGAAGAGGTAAGAAGTACTTGACATATGTCTATTTCAGGCAGCCGCCTCCAAGTTTGCTACCGGGGTTGGGGTAGATGTTTGGTGACTGGACGTGCCGCAATTCAATCGAGTGCTGATTTTACAAAGGCCACGTCAGCTTCGGGTAAGTCCGGAGGACCGCCACTTGGGTTCCGATTTTGCTGGATAAGATACTCATTTGAGGGGGATTCCTCGGAGCAACCAGATTGAACTGACGTCGACTCCTTCTGGAGGCGACGGAGATAAGACATGGTTGTTGGTGGGAAGCATTTTACATGTTGCTTGTTGTGGTTGAAATCCAAATCCACTTAACTGCTAAAATTTGAGAATTGTTGCTCCCCTTCCAACGTCAACCAAGAAGAGGAGGGGAGGTCTGCGGTTTGGGGGGGGGGGGTCCTCCCAGAGGAGTCCCCTGCCTGAGCTAGGCCTACTCTCAACTCACTGAAAGGAGCTCGCCCAAACCGCGCCTCAGTGGATTTTACCCTCATGTGCGGTTTGGGAAGTATAGTTATAGTACCCTCTATCTAACAAAGGAGGTGGACACAGGAGTCTCATTTTCTAGCGAAATCCAAGCTTTTTGAGCACTGTGAGACACGCAATTGCATAGTGGGGTGGGGGACTCATTTTTCTAACAAAGGAGGTGGACAAGGGTCTTTCCTTAAACTAGGTCCCCCAGTTCGGTGCCTTTTTTTGCATTTTCTTGGTTGGGAGGGCTCCTACTAAAATAGACTACAGAAAAAAAGTTGGTACCCTCATTCTAGCCTCTCTACTGGAGGACCTAGTATAGTACCCTTCTTCTAACAAAGCAGGTTGACAGGGGTCTTTCCCTAAAGGAAGGCTTTCGTCTTGCAAGACCTTCCAGTCAGCTATTGAATTCAGAGAAGAGTAGCGCAGGCATGAACATGGTGCCATCCGGGCCATCGTTACCCTGGAAGCCGTCCAAGTACTCCATGATCAGACACGAGGACGGCTTCACGTGCCATGGGTCAGGTCACCTCCATCCCTCTCCATGGTGGGGGTTTCCCACCGAAAGATGGCACAAACCTCAAACAAGGTGTGAGTTGTGGTACCCTTTGTGTTTGGCGCGTCAAGAAAGACGGAACAGCCCAGCCCCCCCCCCTTGCCAAGAAGGGTTTTCTCAATTTGGGTATGGGTCAAAATTAAACCACCAGGAATCGGACCGCAGGTTTTAGTCATTGGTTCCATTTGCCAGGGCAAGCCATTTAGGTTTAGGGTACCTATTTTTGACCCACAGCCATCTGCAGTGTGCTTGGCGCTGATCGGTTGCCCACCTGAGCAGCTCCCACAAGAGGGCGGATGCGGATGTCCAGTCTTTCCGGTCCCCTAATGTCAACTTGGGATACCGGAGGGACATATGAAGTGGAGGGATCCTCTTAAAATAGTTCCCTAAAAGGGGGATCGTCCACCCCTGATGAGTATGGTGCTCTGTCAAGTCAGATGTCACCATGCGTGGGTCGCTTCTTTTGACGGTCTTTATGTGGTGGCTCTCCCTTTGTTTTGCCTGCCAGGTTGGCTTCGTTAACGTAGACCAAAGCCTTGGCAAAGGGCCTGCTTGTTGTCTGCTACGCCCGGAGCTGGACTTCAGGTTGGCTCGAAAGCGGAACTATTTGGGTGGGTTTTGAAGGGAAGCCAAAAGCAAAAAATCACGATTTGGGGGGGTCCTTGTGAAAACCGACACACCCATGTGGCTGTGGGTCAAAAAAGGGTACCCAAAATGGAACCCTGGTAAATGGAAGCAAAGACTAAAACCTGCGCAACCCTAGCTCTTTAATTTTGAGCCACACCCATCTGTAAACGCTGGTTGAAGCAATTAAGGTAATGCAAGCACGGGTCAGGCTCCACGTAGCACCTTTCAGGACTTACAGCTCTACTTTGGCGACAAACCGCCGCTCGCTTTGGACAGCTGAGTCGGCGACGGCGCTGCAACACAATGGGCCTAAGGACATGAATCGAAGGTGATGTCTGTATGCGGGGTGGGTGAAGTTATTGCAAGGCCAGAAGCAACATGCACCTGCGTTTGGTTTGGCACGTGGCAGGTGAAGAAGTACCCAAAAAACCAAAAGACTTGCCAGAGAACTTAGAGTACGTGGACCCTGACCAGTTTGCATCATGGAGATATGAGGTGCTATTCCGTCAAGTGTGTGAACGTCCTTGAACAAGGGTAGCAGAGACACGCGCAAGCGTGTCCAAAGCTACCGGACACCAAGACGACGTCAGCTGCAGCACAGGGTCAAGAACATAGCCAGGGTCCGCATTCGCCTGCCTCCCATAGGGAGCGCTGCAGAACATCTGCACGGCGATTCGGAGCTTGTGGAAAGAAAGAAAGGCAGCTTCCAGCTTCGTGTGCTGTCCAGTGAGCGTCGACCGAAAAGCGCTGGGTAATTCCATGGACTAATGTCCACGGCCCATGTGCTTAGCCATATATGTTCCAGGCCGTGGACCCCCCCCCTCCCCCCCCCCCTTTGTGGGGGTGGGGTGGTGGTGGGGTGGTGGTGGGGTGGTGGGGTGGTGGTTGGGTGGTTGGGTGGTTGGGTGGTTGGGTGGTTGGGCCAACCCCCCCCCCCCTGTGGGGGGTGGGGTGGGTGGTGGGGTGGTGGGGTGGTGGGGTGGTGGGGTGGTGGGGTGGTGGGGTGGTGGGGTGGTGGGGTGGTGGGGTGGTTGGGTGGTTGGGTGGTTGGGTGGTTGGGTGGTTGGGTGGTTGGGTGGTTGGGTGGTTGGGTGGTTGGGTGGTTGGGTGGTGTGGTTCGGAGTTGGTTTAGGCTTGGTGGGTTGGTTTAGGGTTGGTTCAGGGTTGGTTCAGGGTTGGTTTGCGGTGGGTTTCGGGTGGGTTTGGGTTTTGGGTTGATTTAGGCTTAGGGTTGGGGTTAAGGAGGGGTTGCAGGGTGGTTTGGTTTAGGGTAGGATGTTGCGAGAGGTGCGGGGGTGTTGGTTCACGGGGTGAAAGGGGGTCTGGGACCGAAGCTGCAGGGCTCGCACGGTACTGGACAGCATCCCCAGCATTGCCAGCATCATCCCCAAGATGCGGATGATGCGGGGGAGTGGGGGGACCATACCATTGGGGGGGGGGGGGGGTACGTGGCCCAGGGACTGGTACATATATGGAAACGTTATTGTAAGCGCACTTGGCCAATGTCGGCCACTGATTCAGAGCCAGAGAGCCATTGGGGCCAAGGGGCTGGTCATCGCTGAGTTTCTCAAAATCGGATGCGGTGTTCCCCCCTTTTTGGTTTCCTTTTACATGCCAACCAAGAGGAGAGTCCCGCATTTTGAGGACTTGTCACTGTTAGCCCAAGTTACTCGCCGCAATCGATCTCGCTGCCATCGCTTTGAATCATAGTCATACAGGATGTTGGGTGCCACTGAAACCCGAGCAAAGGTCCATATGCACTACTATTTGTAAGGAATGACCATGAGTAAACTCATACTATCGCGCAGCGGCCATTGGCAGACAATGGAATCACAAGCACAACATGGTTAGTAGGCGAAAGTACCATGAGTATCTGCGGCGAGAAGACATCCGTTGCATTCAATAGTTTGGTCTGGGATCCAGTCTTTCCAACCCCAAAACCTGACTCTGTTTCTTTTGGCATTTGGTTGGGCCCGTTTCGAAGCCAGGCTTCACATGAGGGTCCCCGGGTTTCAGGATCCCGGGGGTTGACCATCCTCAAAATCTCTAAAACGCCACCCCAAGACCCCAGCGATGTCCATTTGCCGAACATTATGTGTAGAATGCAAACCAACAGCTAAAAGCCATCAAGTCACAAGTATCGGTATCATCCATCAAGATGTCAGCAGCTTGCGTGGGTGTGCGATTTAGCCCGTGGGTTGAACACGTTGTAAGGTTGGCCCAACCCGAGCTGCAACTCGCAATCTCGGAACCGCTTGGCTCCGGGCGAGCCGTCCCGCGCAGCTTGAGCCTGCCCGAACCTCGGGATGAAGGGAACTAAGCTGCAATACGTGTATTATATATATATATATAGAAACACATCTCCGTGTTTTGTTACTCATGAATTTATTGTGTATCAATGTGTTTATGTATGTCCGGTCGTAGTGATTACTTGACAGTTAATTTATTGTTTGATTAATTGCTTAACCAAGTAATCAACTAGTTAATCAGTTAACTAATATACTTATGTTGTTTGTTTTTGATTTGTGTTTAAACAAGCCAACTAGTTGCTTAGGCATTGGTCTTCGCATTGTGTATGTATGTTGTACGTATATATACATATACATGGGTATGTGTGTGTTGTTCTTAATTATTCATTTAATTTGTTTGCGTACTTGGTTACTTGGTTAATGATTTATTGGCTCATTCAGTCATGCATGCATCTGTTTGTTTCATTCATTCATTTGTTCATTGAATAGTTGATTCATTCATTCATTCATTCATTCATTCATTCATTCATTCATTCATTCATTCATTCATTCATTCATTCATTCATTCATTCATTAATTCATTCATTCATTCATTCATTCATTCATTCATTCATTCATTCATGCAGACATAAATACATACACACCTGCGCGCTTGCATATAGACTTGCATATGCAAGCCCAGATGCACATACACCCATATACGCGAATACCGACCAACACAGAACGCATGCAGGCATGCATTCAACCGATTCTACACACTGCACATATAGCCAACAAGTCGCACATGCCTGCATGCATACATGATTCGCCCGCGTTCGAGCACGTGTGTCACATTGTAGAGCAGCATCTGAAATCAAAACAGGGGATGTACTTGCAGTTGTCGACCAGAATTTGCATGGAGCGCGGTGGGGCTAGGGATGGATGCGGATCTGTAAATCTGTTGCGATGCCGAGGCGAAACCTGGGCAGAAATGCCGAAAGGCGGCCGGCAAATGCAAGACCTGTGTGCTTGGCGTTGGATCTGCAGTGTGTTGAGGGTGTCCGTTTCTTCTTGGTTAAAGGGAAACCAAAAGGAAAACCACACCATTCGGCGGTCCTCCAAAAAAAGGACACGGCATCATGGTTGCACAAAATTGGGCTTTTAGGGGTAGCTTCTTGGATACCAAGGGAATCCCTTTGGAAGCTGCGTCATCGGCATCCGCTTGATAACCCATTTATAGTGCAAATTGCAACGACTGGTCTTTGCAATCGAGCATCTTATAGGTTGGCAGTCCGGGGTTTGATTCTAAGTCTGAGCTTCTGAATGATGCGTTCTGAATGAATTGTGGGGTGGGGGTTGATGGCGAGGATCCCACAAGCTGTTGGAGTGCAGATGTTGTGCCCAGCAATGCCGATACTTCAAGTCGAGAAGTACTTGCGCGGAGTTCGCAGTGCACTGGTTGGTCGGTTTTCGTTGGGGAATGTTGGGGGTACATTGTCTTATCAGGCTTTCAGAGTTGGAATCACTCTAACTGACAGATGTCCATTCAGTTTCTCTGAACAAGGTATGATTCTGACACAGTTCGAGCCATGTCTGTTGACGAGGCAAATCCGTAGGGTTTTCTTGGTTAAGGCTTACAAACTGCACCATCGGATCTGTTTGTACGATGCGCAGGCTTTGCGCAGCTCTTGACCGCGTTTACTGATGGACCTGTGGTCGATCCCAAGAGTCCATGGGACGGAGTGACCTCCGAGCACCTCGGAGAGAGCTTCTTAAAGGGCTTGATAAAATGAGTCTCTGAAACGCCAAGCCAAGGGACGAAGACATGTTGGACGTCGAACTCCTCGAACTCTCGTCTTTCAGAATTATTCTAGCAGATGTAGAAACGCGTGGTATCAAATGGATGGATGGGATATGGAGAGAATATGAAAGTACTTGAATGCATGCAGTCGAGTTGCACGGTCGTGTGTATATGTACGACCCCTAATCCACTTCTGCCGATTGCAACTGGATGGCAGAGACTGATTGGTTAAGAGAAGGGCTGACAAGGTTTGTCAGATTTGCTCGAATTATATCCCACTTGTCTACGTCCCCAGTAGTGCCCTTTCGCACCCTTTTTTGGGGTTTTGGGTTCCCCTACTAAAATAGGCTGGAGAAAAAAGAAACGGTACCCTTATTCTAACCTCTCCACTGAAGGACCTAGTTGTGATTCGGATGCGCACTAAACAGGCACATTTGTCGTTTGTCGAAGCTGCACTTCGCCGCGGTTGATTGGAGATGAGCATGATCTAAACTTGGTCTCCCATGCGCGCTGTTGGCCAAGCAGGTTTCCATCTCTTGACCTGAGGCAAAAACCCGGGGATGGGACCGGGTGAAAAGGTGGAGCCTGTCGAAACTTTGGTGCATGTTGCTTGGATGTTAGGAATTTGACTTTTTGCCAACTAATGGGTTTTCCACTTAAACCACTAGAAGTTATTCACTTTTAGCAGGGGAGCAGAAAGCAACCACCCATTTTAGTCTATTCTAGTGGGGATTGGGATGTTCACTGGTGGGGTCACTGCAGCAGTGGGACGGAGTAAAAAAGTGGAGCCTGTCGAGTGGTGCCAAGGAGCCTCTTCAAAAGGCTCCACCCGGTGGTTCAGCAGATGATGACCTCAACGCCATCTATGAAGAAGGACTCTCGGCTCCATCCGCGTGGGAGGCTCGCACTGGTTGGGTGTCCCTTCACGGTCAGCTCTTTTCCAGTTCTGGTTGCGGCTTTTTGTCGATAATGCATCCCAGTTCTACAAGAATAATACTGTGGATGGTTGCGAACTCCTCTTAGGCACCACCATGTCAGAAGCCCTGGAGTGATGATTCCCCTGTCAATACCAACAAACAATGGTTTGGTATGGTTTCAAAGTGGTGCAGGATTCCGTCCATCGACAGTACTGACCTTCGATTCCGCGAGGTGCTCGGCCGAGCCGGAAGAAACCGTCTTCAAGCTGTTTCTAGGGTACCTGCCATTCCATTCTGAACCCATGGGAAATAGCTGGTTTTTGAAAAGACCGATGGTTGACAAGAATGGGGAATCAACCCCTAGACCTTTGAGGAATAAGTTGAACTTCCAGTTGGACCCGCTTGCCCAGTGGCGCCTTTGTTTCCTTCTTTTTTTGGGAAGAGTTCCCCCGTAAACTCAACCAACCAAAAAAGGATGCCCCTTTGTTTTCCCTATGGAGATCCACTGGGCATCTGGGAGGAGTTGGAACAAAAAAGCATCCAGTGTTGGGGAGTTGCGGGTCAGAGGCGATGGGGGGTCGCCGGAGCCCGCGGCAAATGTGCGGCTTTCTGAGGAATGGGAGAAGACGATGAGCACAGTCACTCGGCCGGACATGCCTTGCAAGTTCACTTCAGTTCTGTTTGAGTCATGTTTCTGTTGGGGTGATGTTTCATGGCTGAAATGGGTGTCTTCAAGAGGTCCAGTTGCTTCCCCATTGGCCAAAGATTGATTTGCAATGCCCCCAATCTTAACTCTTGCCTTAAGTTCCCTTCATCGTCCCTTTCAACTCATCACATGTCAACCTGTGCTGATCTAGGTCTGACCTCCGAAATGGTGCAGCTTGCATCCTGCAAAGTTTCTGTGTTTCTCACTAAACATACAATGTATCTGGGCACATAGCCACGTCACCTTTGGGGGGGGTGCGACGTCGTTCCTTTTTCAGGGGTTCTTTTTCTGACGGCTTCGCCCTGAAAAACGAGTGGGCTGACCAAAACGATATTCCGTTGGGAACCAAAGGTGTTTGTGTTATGCGGTCAGGTCAGGACCCACAGAGGGTCACAGTTGTGTCAACCCGCAGATGCGTCAAGTCTCACTAGTGGGTTGACTTGCGCTTCGACGTGAACTGACTGTGGCAGTCTGCAATTGGCGAAGCGTTCTTTGTGGCTCACCAACCGGATGTTCTTCCAGGGCTTATTGCATGGAAGAGGCAACAAGTAATTACAAGCTTCAGCAGGGTTCCTTTGCAGGTTTCTCATGACCTTATCTGGAGTTTCCTCCAAACTATTTGGGTGTGTCGTTTTTAGGGCGACCCCCCAACATGGCTCTGGTTTTGCTTTTGGTTTCCCTTTAAACCCCCGCACAAAGCAGGTACCCTCAAACGTCAGACTCATTTGTCTGTTTGGAATCTGAACCCGTATGTTTGTTGCCCCGGCGGGATCCGCAGGCAAAGTGGTGAGTTGTGTGCAAACAGGTTTCATGGCACGACCTTGCTGGGAATGCCCGAAGCCAGCAATGGGGCGCTTGAAATGTGTAAACGCTGACAAACCATCAAGGGTCTCCTATGTTTGCTTTTGGATGTTTTGAACATCACCTTTGGGGGAGAAAGAAACTAGGTCCCCCAGTAGTGCCCTTCTCTCCCCTTTTTTGGTTGGGAGGGTTCCCCTACTAAAATAGACAGGACAAAGTTGGTACCCTTATGCTAACCTCTCTACTGGAGGACCTAGGAAACATCCCACACACAAAGTTTCGCCTTGTACCCGGATTGCCTGATTGAGCCAATCCGCGCATCAGTGATTTGGGCATGTCTTGTTTTGGGGGAGGTTTGAACATCACCTTTGGGGGACGAAAAAAAGTAGGGGATGTTACAACGGGACGTACAGGGAACGCTGAACTTTCGGGAACCAAGTTCAATGCTTCGTGCTTGGGTAGCAACCTTGCTAGCGCTTCTGAGCCAGGAAGAAACTGCCCTGGTCTATCCCAAAAGCCTCAACGCAAGAGTTACCCGCATGTACCCCCAAATGGGTCAGCTGTTGGATTGTGTGTGCCCCACGGGAAACATCATTCAGTGAATTAGGCCATGCTCGAGAGCAAGAAGAAGCCGGTTCCTGAGCAACAGGAGCTGCGAAATACGCTGGCGCCATGGCGAAGAAAGTGGATGAAACCCGCGAGTCGCCAAAAAGGCTTATTTACCAGATGAGTCACAATCAAAACCCGGGTAGATGAAGGTTAGAAAGGGACGATCCCAACCATATATACGTGCGGCCGCCTTCTTAATCCTTTACATGGTTCTGTTCCTTTACATGGTTCTGGGTTCACTATTTGTGTACCGGGTTTTGATTATGAATCCGGTGGTTACTAAAACTAGAGGACGATTGGCCCGAAAGCATTTTTCCCCAGGTGCTCATCCAGCCGCGGAGACACCTTTTTACATCCCTGCGGCGAGCGTGTCTGCACGCGGCGATGCTCAATGTGTATGGTCACATGAGAGCTCCATCTCATCGTCCTACGAGAGGAAACATGGCAGTGCTCGATCCCACATATTTACATCTGTTAAAACAAGAAGAGTAAAGCTCGTAAAGCTCGAAACGAATTACAAGCAAAAGGAAAAGCAATGAATAGCAAAGCTTACACGACGGCCACAGTTTCTGCAAAGCACGCTCGCGCAACTTAGCTCTGTGCCAGATGGCTCTGCGCAGCTTGGCTCTGTGAAAGTTGGCTCTACGCAAGCTACTTTTTCGCAAGTGGCTCTGCGCAACTGTCTCTGTGCAAGTTGGCTCTGCACGAGTCTGCTCGGCGCAATGTGCTTTGCACGAACTGCGCCGCGCGATTTCTCACGAAAGTGGTCTGCGCAAGCTGCAGTGTTCCAGGCTGCTGCGCGCAAGTTGCTCTCTGCAAGCTGCTGCACGCAAGTGCTCTGTGCAAGTTGCTCTGCGCAAGTGCTCTGAGCAAGTTGAAGTGTCTGCGCCAGTTGCTCCGCGCAAGCGCTTCGCGCATGTGCTCTGTGCAAGTTGGTCTGTGCAAGTTGCTCCGCGCAAGTGCTTTGTGCAAGTGCTCCGTGCAAGTTGCTCTGCGCAAGTTGCTCTGCGCAAGTGACTCTGCGCAAGTTGCTCTGCGCAAGTGCTGCCGGAGCTGTGGGAATGTGCTTTGCGTACTAATTTTGTACTTAAAAGTTGCGATTTTCCAGCCGGAGCTGCGGGAGTGTGCTCCGCGTACTACGTTTGTACTTAAAAGTTGCGATTTTCTAGCCGGAGCTGCGGGAGCACGCTCCGCATACTACGTTTGTACTTAAACATTGCGATTTTCCAGCCGGAGCTGCAGGAGCACGCTCCGCGTACTACGTTTGTACTTAAAAGCTGCGATTTTCAAGCCGCAGCTGCCGCGGACCAGGGGGGAATCGCGCGACCGCGGGATTGCGAAAGCAGGCGCGCAAACCACGAGACAGCTTCCAAAGGCCATTTCGCGAGCAACAAAATCGCACGGCGCCACAGCGAGAGCGCTTCGACACGCACGATCTCCGCAGAGGGTTCGCCGAGACTAAGAAGAATTCGCACGGCGCCACAGCGAGAGCGCTTCGACACGCACGATCTCCGCAGAGGGTTCATCCGGGAATGTCAAAAACGCAAAACTCGAGTTTTTGCACCTCGACCACGCCGATCTCCGCAGAGGGTTGCGCGGACACCGACCAAAAAGAAAAACCGAGTGCTGCACCTCGACCACGCCGATCTCCGCAGAGGGTCGCGCGGGCACCGCAAAAAAAACCGCCAAAACCTCAAGTTTTGGCACCTCGACCACGCCGATCCCCGCAGAGGGTCGCGCGGGAATATCAAAAAAACGCAAAAAACACCTTGAGTTTTCGCACCTCGACCACGCCGGTCTCCGCAGAGGGTCACACGGGAATATCAATAAAACGCAAAAAAACTCGAGTTTTTGCACCTCGACCACGCCAATCTCCGCAGAGGGTCGCATTCCCGATCGTCGGCAACATCCCCACCCCCCGCCTTAAAAGAGATTCTGAATACCGAGCTCTTTCTCTTTCTTTCCCGCGCGTTAAATACTTAACCTAACTTACTTAACCTAGCTTACACAGCTGCTAACGCCGAGCCTCTACACCTAGCTTAGCTTAGCTCTATGCACCTAGCTCTATGCACTTGGCTCTATGCACCTGGCTCGATGCACTTCGCTCTTTGCACTTGGCTCTGTGCGCTTGGCTCTGTGCACTTGGCTCCTTGCACCTCGCTCTTTGCACTTCGCTCTGAGCACTTGGCTCTATGCACTTGGCTTTGCGCACTTGGCTCTGCGCAAGTAACTCTATGCTGGTGACTCCATGCTGGTGCCTCTGTGCAAGTATCTCCAAGCTGGTGACTCTGTGCAAGTATCTCCATGCTGGTGCCTCTGTGCAAGTTACTCTGTGCTAGTAACTCTGCGCGAGTATCTCCATGCTGGTATCTCCATGCTGGTGACTCTGTGCAAGCTACTCTGCGCAAGTTGACCAAGAGCTCCGCACGGAAGAACGCTTCGCAATGCTTTCGGGAAAAACTTATAGCCATCTTTGTAGAACCAACCGTCTGCCAGTTCAAATGGACGTGGACGAGGCTCCTGGGGCCCCACGGAACCTGAAGCAAGGAGAGCATCCGAGCCCCTTTCAAAGGAAAGTGGTCTAAGCCGCGGGAGGTTTGGTTCCATGTGGAGGGGTACTCCACAAAGGGTGCCAGAAGTTCAGATCAAGGAGCTTTATGTGGTTTTTGCGGCTTTTGGTGTAAGGGGAGAAACCAAAAAGACACCACCTTGTGGTGGTGTTTGTCCACCTTGTTTGACTTTGGGGGGCACCAGGACCACTTGCATACTTCCCTGGCTAGATGAGCCACTCTTCGCTATTCCTTCGGCTCTCCGATCTCTCCCAGCCTTCCTGCTCTATCGGCTGTTTTCGCTCTTCTCTCGGCGATTCTCTTGCATGGTGGTTCCCAGCCATTTTTTTGCCTAGTGTTTAGTGGTTGGATGTCCATTTAACCAATTAAGAGTTAGTCACTTTTAGCGGGGGATCTGAGGACAGCCCAGATTGGCCGTTTTTCCTTCTTCCACTTTTCTGCGTGTTCTTGCCGCCGCTCATCCCCCAAGTCCTTCTTTCTCTACACTTCCGTTTGTTCTGATTATCTTTTTGCTTTGCTCCTATCATTGCTTTTCCGCTCTCTCTCTCTCTCTCTCTCTCTCTCTCTCTCTCTCTCTCTTTTTCTCTGTCTCAATTACCTCTTTCCGTATTTATCTCTGTCTCTCTTTCTCTTTTTCTCTCTGTTGCTTTTGCTCTTTCTCATTTTATCTTGTTCTGTCTTTATTTATTTCTGTCTTCCCTTAATTCTGTGTTTATTTCTTGCTTGCTTGCTTCCTTGCTTGTTGTGTTTGCTTTCTGGCTTTTTTTGCTTTCTTGTTGTATTGCTTTATTGCTTTCTTGCTTTATTTATGTCTTTATTAGTTTCTTTCTTCATTGCTTCCTTTCTTTCGTTCTTGTTTGCTTTCTCTTCATATATGTCTTTCTTTCTTTATTTATGCCTTTCTTTTTTTTATGTATTTTTTCGTTTGTTTTTTCTCTTTATGTTGTTCCCTTTTTTTCTTTCTTTCTTTCTTTGTGTATTTTTGTTTTATTTTATGTCTTTCTTTCTTTCTTTCTTTCTTTCTTTCTTTCTTTCTTTCTTTCTTTCTTTCTTTCTTTCTTTCTCTCTTTCTTCTGTTTTTCTGTCTTTCTGTCTTTCTGTCTTTCTGTCTTTCTGTCTTTCTGTATTTCTGTCTTTCTGTCTTTCTGTCTTTCTGTCTTTCTGTATTTCTCTTTTCCTCTCTTTCTCTTGTCCTCTCGTTCTCTCGTCCTCTCATGCTATCTTTCTCTCTTTCTCACTTTCTCTTCTTGTTTTTTTTCAGGACTTCTCGGCTTTTCTCCCTGCTCATTTTCTGTCGCGCTAGGTTTCGTTCCGCCTCCTCTCAAATATCCCTCAAAAGGGTGTCCAAGGTAAACCGAAAAGTTGAACGGCACCCTGATGCAGTTCTTGTTGGGCACCCTTCAAGCAAATGAAAGTGCTTTATCAAAGTTATTGATAGTCTAAGATGTGGCTTTGCGGCGCGCGATCGCTGGCTTGACCGAGGAGGACAACCTCAAGCAGATGAACGCCATTTACGAAAACCATCCCAACATTCTGGATGAGTTTCACTCTGCGCTGAGAAACGGCAGAGGAGGCATGGAGTCAAGTGTTGATATGCAGGGCTTCTCGAGAGTGCTGGCCCCGATCAACTACTTTTCAAAAGTTTCACCTCTTGGTTCTTGTTCGTGGGTTCCAAGAGGTGATCAAAGGGATTTTCCTGGAGTACCTTAGTGTTCCCCGCAACAAGGTTCCCAAATGGTTGCTGTCCTTGATTTTGGAAACACGCAAGGGTCCCCCAAATGGCCCCAACACAGGTTCACCTGAATTCCCTTTTTCCCGAGAAGGATTTGCAGGGGGGATATCGTGTGAAAAAGGGTTCCCAGTTACGCATTGAGATCAGAACTTGGATAGAAGGTAGGGGACAGTAGCAAGAAATTGCTGACTTCCTGAGCTCCTGGACTTTCAGCTGCTTGGGGTTTGGACCATGTGGCAAAACACAAGTTTTTACTTTTTTGGCCAGCCCACTCATCCACTCTCTGTAAAAAGTGAGGTGTGGGAATTGGCTCTGATTCTAACCCCCCATGTTTTTATCTTGCTGGCTCCCAGCCATCCTGGTTCCTCAGCCTTTTAGATCATTTTCATGTGCAGTATTTTGGATTTTGCTGAAAATTGTCCTTGGCTTTTTTGATAACAGTTATGCGCTTTGTTTGGATTTCCATTTAGCCCACTAAAAGTTTTCGTGTTTGGACTTCCATTCTAGGTCCCCCAGTAGTCCCCTTTTGCTTTTTTTTTGGGGAGGGCTCCCCTACAAAAATAGACAAACAAGAGTTGGTACCCTTTTTAAAAAACCTAGACACCATTTTTGGCCAGTCCACTCATCCACTCGATGTAAGTAAAAAGTGAGATGTAAGAGTTGTTAACTTTGGGCAGGAGATCTGAGGACAGCGGCAATTTTTTTGGGGCCACGTACGCTCAAAAATCGGAGGACCGGGCGCCCGGCTTCAGCAGTCGGCCTTTCTGGACACGGCCAAAGGCCCGAGCTTTTTGGGTGTTTTCGTCGCGGCACGGCACGTCCATTTGCTGAGAAGAAATGGCATGAATTTTACTAGTCCGACGAGAAAAAAAGGATCGACCCGAAAAGAAATGACGTGAAGATGTGTGTGTGTGTGGGTGTGTGTGTGTTTTCCCCTTGTTGGTTTTAAAGGGAATCTATCACCGGATGTGTTTTGTTGTTTTCTCTTTTTGGTATTCAGGAAGAATCTGCCGGAAATATGTTGTTTTTGGTCTGGGGGGTTTGGCTCCAAACGGAAGAGAGGGTTTGGTATATGCCCGCTGCCCCCAGATGACTTGTCCTGTGCCATGTTTCGCATGGTTTCAAGTGCCCACAGTGGCCACTTCCGAGAAAAAGCGACACAAATTAGCACTTCTGCAGAAAGTCTGAAACTAGGCCCCCCAGTAGTGCCCTTCTCCACCCTTGTTTGGGGGAGGGTTCCCCTACTAAAAATACGGCCAGCCCCTGAGGTTTGCCTGCGCCCCGAACCAACGCCCCGACACAAAATCCCTAAACCTAAACCCCAAAAATCTTAAATCCAACCCCTAAAAACCCTGAACCTCAACCCTAAAAAAACAGAAACCTAAACCCTAAAAAACCCTAAACCTAAACCTTAAAACCCTAAACCTAACCCTAAAGACCCTAAACCTAAACCCTAAAAACCCTAAACCTAAACCATAAAACCTTAAACCTAAACCCTGAAAAGCCCCAAACCTGCTTGCTGAAACCTAAACCCTAAAAACCCTAAAAACCCTAAACCTAAACCCTAAATGCCTAAACCTAAACTCAGACCTCCTTGCTACCCACGCCCTCGTGGTACCACGGCCCCACGTTCTGAAGAGAACGCAGGTCACCACGTGTCAGGTATGGCTGCACGAGTTCTGCTACTTGAGTAGTAAAGGGTGCCATACTTGAGCCACGTGCTGGACAAGGGTGGATTAGGGGGTGCCGGCAAACCACGGGGGCTGTGGGTAAAAATAGACTACAGAAGAAAGGGTACCCGCATTCTATCCTCTCTACTGGAGGTCCTAGGAAACATCCCACACACAAAGTTTCGCCTTGTACCTGGATTGCCAGATTGAGGCAATCCGCGCATCAGTGATTTGGGCATGTCTTGTTTTGGGGGAGCCCCAAAAATACTATGTGTTTTGCCTTTTGGTGTTCACGAAAAGGGTAACTGCAAAACAATACACAATCATCTGTTGTTGCCCACGGTTTGAAGTGGGCACGACCGGCAGATATATAGCTTAAGAGGCGACTGCAGCAAGCGGAAGCTTAAACGCTTGTTGCTGCAGATTTCTCTTGGTCTGGTAAGCGGCCAGGGTGGAAACTCGGGCAAGCAAGAAAGCGTGCCCTATGGCAGTGCACAGAATGGTTGTCCCAAACGGAGTCTGCGCACCTCCAGGTGCATGAGTGGGAAGCTTGCCTTTTTCGGTCGATCCTGAGCTAGACCAGACGCAGGCGATGCCAAAGATCCCTGGGATGGCGTCAACACTGAGATGCCTGGATGAAGCGGTTCCTTCGAGCATGGTCGAAAACATAATACGTTAAGAGTTTTCGTCCAGCCAACCGTAGAGGGAGCTTACAGTATGTTTTTGGTGATTTGGGAGTGCGGGTTGGAGCAAGAAAATAGCAATCTGAAATCCAGCGGGGAGAAAAAGGCAAGAACATGATGATTCACTTCCGTCATGTGGCAAGCAAAAAGCAAGATATTAGCAATCGGCATGGGCGAAAACTGTGATCAGATGGCAAATGCCTTTTTTTGGCAGGGGGCAACCCTCGAAACCCAAAATCTACAAATCACAACGAGATATGCAATATGTTCCGTTTTTTTTTAGCAGAGGAAACCCCTCGAAACCCAGAAATCAGCAAATTGCAACGGGAGATCACTAGTTTCTTGGTTCTCTTGTTGTTTTGGCAGGCAACAACCCTTGAAGCCAAGAAATCTGCTAGTAGCAATGGGAGATCACAAGTGTGTTGTTTTTTTGGAGTTGGACATCACTATTTTCTTGTTTTTTTTTGGCGGGCGACAACCCTCGAACCCAGAAATCTACAAATCACAATGGGAGATCAGAATTTTCTTGATTTTTTGGAGTGGAAAATCACTATTTTCTTGCTGTTTTTTGGCAGGGGACGACCCTCGAAAGCTAGAAATCTACAAATCGCAATGGGAGATCACTATTGTCTTGCTTTTTTGGAATGTTGATCACAATGTTATTGCTGTTTGTTTCACGATTCGACTGTTTTTTCTTGTTATTTCTGGCCTTTTGTTTGCTTCATTCTTGCTTTTTCAGTGCCCACTGTTTGCTCTATCATCACCTTTTCTTGTTTTGTTTTACCCTTTCCCAAACTTGGGATCACTATTTTCTTGCTCTGTTCCTTGCTCTACATCTCACAACAAAAGAATCAAACGACATTGTCGAGCGGTTGGCTAATTTCGCAAGTCTAAAATAATACGGGTGGTCTATGGGACCTCACTAAATTGTCTACAAACACCAGGGACTCGCAAATGTTCCCTCTGTCCTTGAAAAGCAAATCATTTTGACCGTGCCTCGTTTGAGCATTACCATTGAAAGCGGTGCCCACAGCCGGATATTTGAACACTTGTGTACCCTGGGGTTCGGGGGCCTTAAAAAGAAAGGCCTTTAGGAAGCGGCCGTGAAATGTGGGGAAAGTTCTTTGTTTGCAAGCCGGACGCTTTGTAGTGCTTGTGGCTGAAACGTACGCTTTCCAAAGCTGCGAGAAAACCATGTCAACATGTTCAAGCTGTTCAATGCTCAAGGTCTTCGACTTTATGGGATTTCTAGAAACATTGATCATGGGCTTAGCAATGGGACATCGACAAGGGGAAAGCGTGAAAATGCCGTGAAATTGGCGTGAACGCCTTTTTTTGCAGTGAAAGACCGTGAAATGCCGTGAAATTTGGCAGGCGAAAAACCACGCACATTCGTCCTGGCTAGCATTGTTTGCTGCTGGGTTTGAGGAGGTCCTGCTGAATGGATGTTTCGGGAAGACCATGATTGTTCCATTGAGGATGCAGAAATGTGCTGCTTTAACGTTAAGGCTTTTCGCAAGTCTAGCTTGGCTTTTTGCTGACGATGTAAAGTTTGAATTCCACCCAGGCCCCATCCCCCAGCTAGTCAAACAAAGGATGTTCATGTAACGGCCTTTGTTTTAAAAGCCTTTTACCCCCCAGGGTGTAGGTGAGATAAAGAGGTTGGATATGCCTGAACAACGGGTTGGCCCAGCAAGACTGACAAGCAAAGCTCGAGGATGCTTCAGCGTTAGGGAGTTGATGGGTTGATTCCTCATTCCTTTCTCACCGTTTTTGAGAACGGTCGGTGTTGCATCGGTTTTTGGTTGTCTTGAAAGAAGGATCCCTGGTTTTCGGGTTGACACCTGCGGGTTTACCGCAGGGTTTTGGGGTCAAGGGGTTTATCCCCACTTCTGTGCTACTTTTGGGAATCTCCCCCTTCATATGGCAGGTGTCTTTGGGAGGCCCATTTTGTATGAAGTGGATTCCATGTCCCACATGGGTTACCCTGATTCAAGCAGATTCCCACAGTGGTAAGGTCAAGAGCCGCAGAACCGGAAGAAGGGAAGCCAAGCTTCCCAGTGGCACACCGATTGAGAGTTGCGAAAAGCTTTCGCGAGATGTTAGTGAGCTGCTCAGGCGAATGGGGTATAGAGTGAAAAACATAAGGTTAAGCGTTTTACCCTTGTTTGGGGGTAGTGAACACCCTCTTGGAGAAGCAAAGCACCAAATCAGCAGTCCGTTCTATTGCCAAGGAACCTCTTCAAGCGATTGCACCCTGTGGTGAGGGACATGATGGAGAAAATGCCTGGCATGAAGAAAGACGCTCGGATGCAATGTGCAAGCAGTTTGATCTTTGACTTCAAGAAAGGATTTGCAGAGACTGAATATTCTGGTGACTGGATGTTCAGGTGCAAATTCATGTCATTCTGAATTTGTCGGGCTATTTCCCTGTTGTCCGTTGTTTGTGCAATCATCTCAGGAGTGGGAGAAGACCGTCAATACCGCAGCGGACCTAGGCATTTCACATAGCATTATTTGAGGTTCAATTCAGGAAGTTTTTGGGATGAAACTGAGTGATATTGCAGGAGTTCCGCCACGCATCCTGAGTCAATTTTTCCTCAAGATGGGGAGTGCTGGCTGGGCTAGCCTGACCCCTGCGCTTAGGCTATGATTCAGAGCAAAAAGAAGCCCGCTTCTGAGCAGCAAGAGATGCGCGACACCATGGCCGCTTGGCACACAAGCGGGATGAGTTGGCTACGTGCGTGGGTCGGTGGTCGGTGGGTGCGATGCGTCGTGTGTTTTATTTGTTTGTTTGTTCTTCTTCTTTTTCTGTATCACATGAGTCACGCTGTGTGTGGTGTGTGCAGAGCGGTATTTGGTGCGTGTTTGTTTACTTGTTTATGTTATTTGTTTGTTTGATGGCTTGTTTGTTCCTTTGTTTGTTTGTTTGTTTGGTTGTTTGTTTGATTGTTTGTTTGTTTGTTTGTGTGTTTGTGGGTTTGTGTGGGTGTGGTTGGCGTGGTGTGTGTGTGTGTGGTGTGGGGTGCGCAAGATGTTGTGTGCGCTTCTGCGCGTGTGTGTTGTGGGTGTTGTTTGTGTGTGTGTGTTTTGTGTTTGCGTGTTAGTCTGTGTGTGTGTGTGTCTGTGTCTGTGTGTCTGTCTGGTTGTGTGTTGCTGTGTTTGTGCGCCTGTACTCGTGTCAGTGTCTCTTTGTTTGTCTCTGTTTGGTTGTTTGTTTGTCTGTCTGTCTGTCTGTCTGTCTGCGCTTATTTGTTTGTTTGTTTGTTTGTTTGTTTGTTTGTTTGTTTGTTTGTGTTTGTTTGTGTTTGTTTGTTTGTTTGTTTGCTTGTCAGTGTTTGCGTGCGCGTCTTTTGTTGTGTTTCTGTTGGTGTGTGTTTGTGCATGTTTGTATCCCTGTCGGTTTGTTATGTTTGCGTTTGCACGTGCTCCAATGATTCTTGACCTGGTGTGTTCAACTCGAGGCAACCACACTAGGTCCCAAGTAGTGCCCTTTCTCACCCCTTTTTTGGTTGGGAGGGTTCCCCTACTAAAATAGACTAGAGAAAAAAGGGTACCCTTATTCTATTCTCTCTACTGGAGGACCTAGCACAGTAGAGATGACTGACATGTGGTTCGTCCAGCGTGAATTCAGCTCTTGTCCCACGAAACAAAAAGGAAACGGATGTGTCACACAGCCAAACGCAACCGCAAACACACATAGACTGCATTGGGCCCTCATTGCCAGCATATCGATTTTGGATGGGCTCTTATCAGTTTTGCAGGTTCATGTCAAGAATCATTGTCCTTTAGGAAGTTCTTTGCTTGAGGGACTGGGTTTGCTTGATGAATGAGAGGTTGCAGGGGTCCAGCAATTCCTGCAACTTGTCTCAGGAGCAGAACCTCAAGCAGCTGAACGCGATGTACGAAGCGAATCCCAGACTTCTGGAAGATGTGCATCGAGTTGTGCAGGGAACCTTGGCTTAATGCTCCCCCTTTTCTTTGCGGGGGTTTTGAACGGCTAGCTTTCGGCAAGTGAAGCTTCTTGTGCTTGCAAATATGTGGGTATGTGTGAAGGCGAATCCAGGTGATCCTTTAGGTGAGGGTTTCCTGTTGATTTCAGAGATGAGAACCACCTCAATGTACCTGGGACCTACTGGACCCCAGCATGAAGCCTTTGATTGATCAAACATTCCGGGGGGGGGTTCAAGCATTTTAGCCTAGGTCCCCCAGTAGTGCCCTTTCTCACCCCTTTTTTTGGGGGCTCCCTCACTCAAATAGACTACAGAAAAAAGTTGGTACCCTTATTCTAACCTCTCTACTAGAGGACCTAGGTAAAGCAAGAGTCAAGCTCAGCTGGTTTCCCATGCAAAGTTTAGGTCATACCAGGCCCTTGGTGAACATCAAAATAGGTGGCCAACAGATGTTCATCCACCCCAAAAGCCGGAAGCACCTCTCGAGAATCTGTCAGCATGATCTCTCAGAGTCTCCAGCGCCAGGACTTTCAGCTGAGCAGTTTTGGCCCATCAACTGGGGTCAGTATCTGCACTGGGGTTTGACAAGGTCAGACACTGCTTGGTGTGTACCCCTTTTTTTACCCACCCCGGAAAATGGCTTTGATCATAAAATGGTGTGGCCGGATCAAAAGATCGAAGTAGGAAGTGACATACTGTTGGTGGATATTGACAAGGGGAAGCATCATCCCAGGGTGTTTTAGGTGGGCCGAAGAGGATTTCGCAACCATCCACAGTATGTTGTATTTATAGTGTGGAATACCCTCCCAGCTTACATGGAAGTGCACAAACCCCCTTTCCAAGAAAGTAGTCGTTCCACAGGGATCTGAGATCCACAGTATCCCAGTTCCGGCGAAGGAGACGGTGGCGATGGCTTTCTCTGAGCGCCCACCGCGAGCACCGCGAGCGAGCACCGCGTTTCACGCCGCGCCAGCTTCGGAGACGGGGAGGCCTCAGCTTCCATGTGCTTGTTATATATATATATATATATAAGTAAAAATCTGGACACTGCCAAAGGCCGGATTTTTTATATATGTTTTTTGGTCGCGGCACGGGAAGCTTCAAATTGCTGAGAAGAAATGACATGCATAGGTGTCCTTTTTGGTTGATTTGCTCAAAACATAGATGGTTATTCCTGGTTTACCTGGTGGTTTAATCATCTACCTGGGAACCCATCTATTTCCCCCATGCTTAAGATTTTTGTTCCCTGTTGGTTTTAAAGGGAATCTATTACTACTGGATTTTTTCCAGGGGTCTCAACCAAATGGAAGTCAGTAAACCTTCACTTGGCATGGAGTTTTAGGTCGACCGGTGGTTGTGTGATGGTTCTTCTTCCTTTTGTTCCCGTAGTGGGGTTGCACAGAAGAACGTGCGTTGCTAAAAATGAACACACCGAAGGTTGCCAGGATATGACAACACATATACATATATACATATCGACTATATGTATATACATACATACTATATGTATGTATATATATATATATATATTATGTATATATTATTGCATCATGCTCAGGGGCCCCTGATGATGTCCAGTTCGCGCTGGCCGCCGAAATTTGCCCTGCGCAGCTGCGGAGAGGGCAGAGCAGCGCGGAGAGATCGGACGCCAGGAAAATGGAAAACTCCGGGTCCGAGCGCAGCTTTGTATTTGCGGTCTCCAAAGGTACTGTAAGTGGACCAAATTCAATTCGCACCACTTTGAAACCATAGCAAACCATGGTTTGTTGGTATTTCCAGGGGAAGGAAGCATCACCCCAGGGTGTTTTTTTAGGTGGTGCAGGATGTCGTCCATCCAAAGGTATGTGGTACTTCTAGTGTAGAATATGTTTCCTCCCACAAACATAGCATCTGCGGGAGGGTACCTGGAAGATCAATTTCCTTTTCAAGGGACCCTCTGTCAGGTGCCATGTTAGTGCGAGTGAGGGTAAATGGCTACGAATTTTGGCAGCACACCTTATAAGTTGTCGGTGCAAATAAATCCCCATAATGTCCGCCAAGAGGCCTCCAATCAAAATTAGTGCTCGAAAAATGGAACAGAGTCTGAACAAATGTTCTGTCCCCTATATGACCCAAGTGTAGTCGAATGGAAATCTTTGGCCAAATAAGGATGTTCTGCTATGGATCTTTGTGGGAGTTTCTAGCTTGTTTTCTTTGGAATTTCTATATGATTTCTACATGGCTTGATGATCTTCAACAAAGCTGTGTGACCATCTCGAAAGAACCACAGGTGAACGGGTTTTGGGCGCTGTTCAGTACTAATCAAACACAAGAGCGCTGGCTGGCTTGCGGGCTGCAACATGTGCAAGTGAGACGTCAAGTGTCGCATGCAATATTGCTCACCAGGCACATGGACTGGGGCCAGCAACAGGAGTTTTGGTACACAAATTCCGGCACTTGCTGCAGAGATTTGTGCAAACAGTGAGAGCATTGATGCACTTGACAGTGCCAACGAGTGTGTCAGCAAGAGCAAAGAGGACAAGCGCTGCTGATTTCCCTTCACGTCTTTCCCTCTTTGCCTTTCGCATCACTTTGCGATGCCGAGTAGTGATGATGACCTCCCACCAGCAGACGGCCAGCTGGTGGCGATTGGACATGGCAGTTGAGCAATGCATGGTGCCGCCACCTGTGTGCAGTTGACCCTCCTCTTGAAACACGGGGAGCTTTGAAAAGTGCAGAAACATGGAGCCTTTGCGTTTTAGGGGATTCCATTTAGTTCCCGAGGGAGCCAATTGGCAAAACACATGTGTGCAACACATTCGACTCCCTTGCCAGCTGCACTCTCAGAGCTTCGGACGGAGAGTGCTATGCCAGCTACATCATATCTTTGCATTTTGCCAAGGGCTGTTAGGACTTGAGAACTTTTTGCCAACTAAGGGGTTTTCCGTATTGAACCACTAAAAGTTAGCCACTTTTCGCAGGGCTTCGCAGGTTTCGCAACCGAGATATACACTCCGCTGAACGTGGAGCCATGTAGAGCCTCAAGAAACCAATCTCCTTGTTGGGGACCCGGACCCCTCTCCATGAAAAAAATGCAGAGCATCCCACTGGACCAATCGTGAAAATGCGGATGCGTAGAACAGGGCTCCTTGAAAAGATCTCCAGTTTGCCACCATTTGAAACATGTTGCTTTTTCAACACCAAAATCAAGTTGGAAACCACCATTTACAAATCAATGTTCAGGTGTAGAATGTAAGGATCCCTGTAGAACAAGTTCCCTTCGTCATGGAAGGTGTCCTTGTGCTCTTCACGCACTGTCCCCGAGGATCTAAGTCGTTTTGGACACATGCCCTCACTAGGTCCGCTAGGTCCCCCAGTAGTGCCCTTTCTCACCCCTTTTTTGGTTGGGAGGGCTCCCCTACAAAAATAGACTACAGAAACAAAGCTGTTACCCTTATTCTAACCTCTCTTCTGGAGGACCTAGCTCAGGTCCTATGACAGTGCTGAAGATGAGCCAAAGCACGGTTAAAGTTTGGGAAGAAACTCGGGCAACGTTTCCCGTGGTTCCCCGTAACCGAACTTCTTAACGGCCGATCGCGCCTTTGGAGTGGCGGCCGAAGTTCATGGAAGTGTCCTGCGCCATTTCGGAGGGTTTTCGATGTTTCTCTAAGCTGCACCGAAATCCCCAATGAAAGCATCACCACGCCAAGATTCACTTCGCATGACCTTTCAAAAGCTAATGTTCGAGCAAAATAGGGGCTCTCCAGAACTGCGGTTCCTTTTGGTTTCGATTGCAACCAGCCCCTAGCAAGGGTAAAGGCCCCCAGCAAAAGGAAACCTCCCGGAACGGAACCCAGGTAAGGAGATTCGAAAAGGAAGCGCGTCGAGGAACCAACTTCTCTTGGGGTTGATTCCTCTTCCATTCTTTTCAACCATCGTTCTTTCCGAAAACCGGATCCGTTTTCCCTGGGTTTCCGGAGGTTTTCTAGAAAGATCCGGATCCCTGGGTTCAGAATGGAAATGGAAGGTACCCCTAGAAACATGGCGGATTCATAAGCATCTCCGGATGTGATGTGAGCTTTTCCTAGAACTTGAGGAAGGGATGCCCCGACTGAAGCTCCGTGAGGCCCTGACTGGGAGAACGGCTTCAGCGATGCGCTGCGCCATTTTGAGGCGGGCCCGGCCTTTGGCTTACGCGCACTGTGAAAAGTGTGTAGCTGGGTCCCCCAGTGCCCTTTCTCACCCTTTTTTGGTTGGGAGGGCTGCCCTTACTAAAATAGACTACAGAAAAATACCCGGTACTCTTATTCTAACCTCTCTGCTGGACCTAGTTAGTTGCGGCTTTTGACAATTCTTCCAGATCTGGGCAACGCTTGGTTCCAGAAGGTCATGCTTTCGTTTCTTGGCCCTTGGGGCAAGAGAGAAAATGACGACAACTCCCTCCACCCCCCCCCCCCCCCGGCCCTCAACAAATGGCTGGCTTTCTTTTCCACGAAGAACAAACAAGCAGTAAGCAGTGAAGGAGATGGTCAATATTTTTCCCATCGGAACGGAACCTGGAGGATGCATGCGGAAGTGTTCTCCCACATCAAACACCCCATGCTGAAATGGGATTCATCAACTGGGAGTTGATCAATCATGGCTCAGTGCTATACGCGCCTAGATGACTCGAATGGGTTGGATACGATAAAACCAAATTTTGTCATGATCATAAGACCGTGATAGTGTAAATTTTAGCCCCTTGCATTACTTTCCGCAAAAAAATGTGCCTGTTTGGGATGGCAATTGAAAAGACACCGGAGACCTATTGCATACGTGGTGGTTGAATATTTAAGCAAACACCCACACATCTGTGGGTCAATATGCACCTACGTATTCTTTGCCATTTACTGAAGCCCAAGTTGGTACACTTACCAAACCAAAAGGAAGCAATCTCCCATTATGTGTTTCGGGCTTAAAATTGAGGTTGATTGCTCATACTGTCCCAAATAAAATGCTCACATTGGCACGGATCCCAGAAGGCCATTTTCCTTTGGAACGCCCCTTGGTTCAGTGAGTTATTGACGAACGAGGTGTACTTCCCAGAACTCAGGGCCGTTTTTGGACGGCCTGGACTCGGACAAAGGACACCAAGGATTTGTGGGTCGGCCATTCAGGAAATAGCCCATCCAAACAGCACCACCTAGGTCCACGCTTCGAGAGAGAGAGGGAGAGAGAGACAGACTCTCCGATCATGGAACCCAACCTGGGTCCCTCAGTGCCCTTCTCTCCCTTTTTTTGGGGGAGGGTTCCCCTACTAAAATAGACTACAGAAAAAGGGTACCCTAATTCTAACCTCTCTACAGGAGGACCTAGCAACAAGCTTCCTTCAATGAGGAAATTCCTTTATTGGGTTCCTTTTTTTGGCTTGGCACAAATTAGGCCACAATTGTTGACCTACCCAGTAATTTGTCAAATTTATCCAGATCCCATGTTTGGCACGTGGTCCGGTATTTGCCAGGGGTGTTGGCTTCTCGTGCCAGGAGGCAGTAACTCTTTGGAGGCGAAGAGAGGAGGCGCGAAGTTGGGAGAGTCGCACAGGTTTCCGGGGGTCCCTTCGCGCTCTTTTCCAGTTCTGGTTGCGGCTTTTTGTCAATAATGCATCCCAGTTCTATGAAAAGTACTACTGTGGATGGTTGCGAAATCCAATTTGCACCACCAAAAAAAAATCCCTGGGGTGATGCTTCCCCTGTAAATACCAACAAACAATGCTTTGTTATGGTTTCAACGTGGTGCAGGATTTCGTCCACCCACAGTACCTCCAACAATACATGCCCACCCAATGTATGGACGCAGCGTCGATCTCGGATAAGCTGCTGGAGTATTTGGGCGGGTGTTTGCCCAAAGTGACAAGAGGATTCCCTCTGAAACAGGACACCCCCCCGTATTTGTCAACCAAGGGTTGACGTTTGTGGCGCCAACAAAAAGGGACAAGTCTAAGCATAGCCGTTGCCGAAATAATGCTGTGAAGGGAACCCTGGTTGGGTTTTGGGGACTGAACAGCTCATGACGTTTGATTTCCCAGGGAAAAGCACAAGGGATGGTTGAAAAGGTTTAAATCTCCCCAGTAGCTTACATGCAACCCATCGAGCCATATTTGCTCAAATTCGCCTTTGCCCTTTCGGGAAAAAGAAATGGCCGTAACCCGAACGACGCAAATAAATAACCCACCACAGCCGTGGGACTTTTTCCCCACGCTGGTGTGCAAATGTCCAATGCGAATGCTTAAAACTCGGGACTCTCCCATTTCCAGTCGGAAACAAACAGCCTTCTAGGGGTTGATTCCTCTTCGCATTCTTTTCAGCCATCGTTCTTTCACAAACCAGCTATTTCCCCAGGGTTCTTGGTGGTTTTCTACAAAGAAGGATCCCTGGAAAGAATGGGGAAGTTACCCCTAGAAGCCTTTTTTGCAACCACTGCTACTTGCGTTGTTGTTGTTGTGTTTTTTCCCAAGGCCACAGTATTGCCCATGGCTCATTTGCTTTGGATGCCCCATTGGCAGATCTGTCCATGGAGGAAATATGCAGTGCATTTGCCAAAGCAACCAGTACGTGTTCAGTGCATAAGTCTGTCAGTGCACTTGTTTTGAATCTGAATGTGCAGAAAAAGCACAGCTGCCTCACGTGAAGCTAGGTCCCCCAGTAGTGCCCTTTTACCCTTTTTTGGGGGAGGGTTCCCCTACTAAAATAGAAGCAAGTTGGTACGCTTATTCTAACCTCTCTACTGAAAGATCTAGGAAGTGTCCACATGGCATCGGATGGTTTGGAGTTGGGCGCGTGGACACGTTCAGGCAACTTGCGAAGAGAAGACCGCAGGCGGGTGAGCCGATCCCCGCTCTTCAGTTCGGACCCCCCCCCCATGTGGCTGTCATAGGCGTCCTTTTTGGGTTAGTTTGGTTAAAAATGGATGGCATTGGTTTAGATGGGGTGTATTCCAGGCCCATCTATTTTTCCAAAAGGCCACCAAAAGGGTTGGGCATAAGAGCCCACAAGTATGTCCACAAAAGGGTTCTAAGTACTTCTCATACCCACATGCACTTTTCGGACACTGGGATCAACCGGAGGGGGCGCTGGTTTGACGAGTCTCGGGACCCCCACTGGCAATTATTGCTCTAGGCAGTTCGGGAGATGAGCTGACACGTCATAGTGGCCAGGTGGCGATCTTATGTTTCCTTACACTTGATTCAATTTGTTGAGAGGGTTTCCCAAACGATCTTATGGTTCCCAACAGATCTTATGTTCCCAAGCGATGTTATGTTTCCCAAGCGATCTTATGTTTCCCAAGCGATCTTATGTTTCCCAAACGATCTTATGTTTCCCAAATGATCTTATGTTTCCCAAGCGATCTTATGTTTCCAAGGTGGGCGGGGAACAACCATCTTCCCAAGCAGGAGGGTTGCAACAAATGAGACATGTTTGGATGATACATCTGATGGTCCTTTGGCGCAAACTATCTGAACCCTCGTGTTAGAACCCCTCGAATGGGTCCCCCATACCAAAATTATTGTTTCTCTTCTTCTTCTTCTTCTTCTTCTTCTTCTTCTTCTTCTTCTTCTTCTTTGCAGGTTCCCTCAAAACTCAACGAACAACAAACCCAAGGCATATCCCCTGCCTCGCCACTTCCTTTCTCGGAGGTTCAGCCGGAATCTCGAAGCCTTCCATTGCCATTTGCCGCCCCCAAATCAGAAGCTAGGTGCCCGACCTCTCACCCTTTTTTTGGTTAAAATTGAGCTCCCTAAAATAGACGGAGAAAAGTTGGTCGCCTTATTCTAGTTCTCTGGGCCTAGAAAAAGCGGGAAGTCCATTGTGGCCCCATGGCGCAGCTCCTTCAGGTCTTAGAGCTTCCTTGCAACTTTTGCGGGGCAAGGTGAATGTCAAATGCGTGGAGTCAAAGTTGAACCAGGAATCGGACCGCAGGTTGTAGTCCATGTGTCCACTTACTAACTTGCTAGGGTCCATTTTGGGGTTACCCGATTTTTGACCCACAGCCAGGTCAAATGCGTTGAACGGTCTCCATCGGAGGTTGCCCTGTTGACCTGTGGACTGATTTCCAGAGACGCCTCGGCCCTCGGGCTCGGAATGAATGGACGCCACATGAAACGCAACCTGGAGATGGCAGTTGTCCAGTAAAATCAACCTGGCGCTGGTGAACAAGAGGCTTCCTCAAAATGCCGCCTGGCAAGTGCTTTTGGGAATTTGCACCGCATAACTCGAAGATTGAAGCAGCATTGTCCTTTGAGCAGAAGCACACGCGTGTACGCATGTCCAAAAGAGTCCATGATGTCAACTGAATCTCTATGGAAATTTGATAAAAGGGACGCCACGCACCGAAGACAAGCCGGCCTTCTTTTGGATTCGATCGCTGTGGAGTCATTTGCCAGGCGTTCCCACCCTGATTGTCAGGCATGGAAACAGCAGAAAGTTCGGGGGAAATTTGAAAGAAAGCTTTCGCCCGAGAGGAGATTCCTCCACAAGCAGATGTTTCTGGGTTCCATGTTAATTTTCGAAAATTATAAAAGCATAGATCCCAGATAGCAGCGCTTGCACACCTCCAAAAGCACACCCCCCCCCCGAAGAACGCCCCAAGCAAAACCCGGCCGTCAATCGAGCACCCTGAAGAGCACCCCAAACAGCACCCCCCAAGACACCCAGCCGTCAACCAGCACCCCAAACAGAGTCCGAAACCACCACCTAAGCTGCATGCCCCCTTGCACCCTGCCGTCAAGATGCAAACATGCGTCTGCACCGTCACCTGCATGCCCGATAGCACCCGAGCGTCAATATCGCAAAAATGTGCCCGCACCATCACCAGCATCTCAAACAGCTCCCCAGCAGCACCCCAAACTACATTCCCCCCATGCGTCCTACCGTCAAGATGCAAAAATGCGCGCGCACCGTCACCCCCCAAAACAGCACATGCACAAGCACCCCAAACTGCATGCCCTCTAGCACCCTACCGTCAATCTTGAGAAGATGCGCACGCACTGCCACAAGCACCTCAAACAGAACCACAATCAGCACCTACACCTTTCCCCTCTTCAATAGAAGTTAGAACCCCTATAGCTTTCAGCTATCTGGGGAAATACAAATGACAGTCGTCTAACAGAAACACCCGTACCATGGTATGGATCAGCCTGCTCAGTGGGAAGGGGGAAACGGCGAAATAGCGCTCGACAGGGCAATCAGCTTAGATTTCACCAGGCAGCGCCTCAAGTGAGGTTTGTGATGAGACGATTCAAGATAAGATGATATGATCAATGTCTTGAGTCACGTGTTTTCCCAAAGGGCTAGGGGTAATAAGCCTTACAAAGGCCGAAGAAGGACAAAATCAGCCCAAGTAAGCCTTAAGCGGTTGGTGTTGAGAGGCCGGAATCTGAACCAGCGCACCGTGGCAAGTTGCGACTTCGCAGCAGAGGCGTGGCCAGCGCGACGTTCCGTCGGTTCGGCGGCTGCTCACTTGGGGCCTTGGGGAGTAAATCCCCCATAGAAAACTTCCATTTGCTTAAGATTTTTGTTTTTTCCCCTGTTGGCTTTAAAGGGAATCTATCACTACTGGACATATTTTCTCATTTTTTTCCAGGGGTCTTAACCAAATGGAAGAAAATGGGCTTGAAGGCAAGCCACAAGGAAACCAGAGGGTGTTGGAAGCCAGTTTTTCAATTGGCCGCAAGGGCCAGGCTGCGGTTGCTGGGAAACTGATATGAAAAGAAGTTCAGTTGTGCCATTTCTGTCTGTGGTTGTTGGAGTACCTGATGAACGGAGTTGGGGGTGCTTGCCCAGCATTCGGCTGCATTTGTGTTTGGGCCTTGCTTCTTGTAGCCTGCAATCTTGGCTCTTGCTCCATCTATCTTTCCGCTCTCCTAGGAGGGTAACCTCTAGCGGGTTGCAGACACTATCATTCAGATAGATTTGGTGCCTGCAACTCTGACGATCACTCGGCAGTCAAGCTTCAGCAGCTTCTTTTGGCAAACAAAGTAACTGTGTCTCAAACATGAAACCTGAAAGGCACCACCTAGAAGACAATGTTCTGTAATGTCAGCCTCGGATTACTCCAGAAGACCCTGCTAGTCAGAAGAACCCCTAAAATAGATAATATCCTTTCTAAAAGGGAGCCACCCTCCTCGCGAAAAAACGCCGAGGTTAGCAATAGCAGGGACGTTCTTTCAGGGCGCTGACCGACGGAATCCGTCGCACTTGGTCCGAGGACTGCTTGAAAGCGCACTTTCCGGATCGCGAGATCGAAAGTGACAACGTGCCTCGGCTCATGTTGCAGCCATCCGGTCGGCGTCAGACGGGTTTGCGTGGCGTTTGTGGTTGGTCACAACTGATGTTGGCCCTTCAGCAAGGAGGTTGCATCATGAAGAGAAGATGTTCGACATTTGCGACCTTGTGCTGTGAATCGGGCGTGCAACATGCTGTGTTATATAGTCGCGTGTCAAAATCATGGCTACAAAGGGCAGATCAACGCAGAGGGGGGGACCTGCCGGTGACCAACGTCACCTCCCGAGGCCCTCCGAACTCTCATCAAGGCCAGGCCGCTTACCGCAAATCGACGCAAGGAATCCCCTTGAGGTGAGTCCCCTAAGAGGAGATTCCTCTACAAACCCATTCTTTGGTGCATCTTGCTTGGATGTTAGGACTTTGACTTGTTGCCAACTAATGGGTTTTCCATTAAACCACTGAAAGTTAAACTGATAGCAGCTGAGCAGAAAGCAACCGAGCATTGGTTTTTCATGTCCCATGTTAGTCTGCAGAGCCTTGCCAGCTCCGACAGTGAGTGGGGCGACAAGAATGTGCACGGCCTGGACTTGGTCCTGTTTGTGACAATCAACCAGCTCTCCCGTGTATTTGGCTGAACAGGGACTGGCACTGCGTTTTGTTCAAGAGTTGTTTTTGCCATGGAGCTAGTGGCCCCAAAGCGCATCTTCCGGACAACCAGTCATCGCAGATTGGACTCAAAGGCCTTTTGTTTGATACGGGGGGAGGGAGAGGTTCCCCCTGAAAAAGAAGACACGCCCAAGTATCAACCGCACCCATCAAACGCCAACCTTGGGTTGGTACCAGTTGGTTTTTACCAACACTTCCCAAAGTCAGCACACACAATCACAGTGCCGACCATTTCAATGGGTGTGTCCCGATAGCGTACCTCCCAAAAAGATAGTCGCCCCTTGGATTCCCACGAAAAAAAGTACCCCTTTGAGGAGGACCTAGCCAATTTGGATCTCATAGTCTTATTTTTGACGGGGGGAGCTTGGGGGGGAAGCTTTAGGGGGGCATAGCATCCTGTAATAGCTTAGTGGTTCCCAGCCATACGGTTCCTCAGCTTTTTGGCCTTTTAGTGTTTAGCGGTTGGATTTCCATTTCACCCACCAAAAGTTAAGCTTTTGGCGGGGGATCTGAGGACAGCCCAGATATGTGATGTACTTTCGCTTCCCCGTCCCCAAGACCGCCCACCCCACCCCACATTTCAGGTGGCCAAAAGCCAGCGGGAGGAGCTGGCAGAGGCCAGTTGCTCGGTACCCGGGGCTCCGGTGGATATTTTTGTCCAGCCCTGTTGTTTTTGGTTAGGGCAACCAAAAGGAAGACCGAAGCCCTGTTGTTTTTTTTTTTGTTTTTTTCCGTTCGTTCCTGTGGTTAGGGAAACCAACAAGAACACCGAAACCAGTTTTGAATTTTGGGGGTCCGGTTCTTAAAAGACGGGTAATATGCTTGCGCGTTTCTTTCCAGGAGCCCCTTTTTACGGTTTCAAGCGAAGCCCAGAGGAGAACGTCCACATCCATTTTGGTGTCGTGTGGGTGAAAGTCTCCCGTGGTCCTGGGGACTTGAGGGCGTCCCACGAGAGTCCCATGCCCTGAGGAAAGAAGTTGGCCGTGTGCCATGGTCAAAACACGCAACTCTGGATTCTTGGTGGGCATGCTCACGGATTTTGTTGGGGATTGTTGAAAACAAATCACGTGGCTGTGGGTCAAAATAGGGGAACCCCAAAATGGCTTGCCCTGGTAGATGGAACCAAGGACTAAAACCTGCGGTCCCCTGGTGCTTAATTTTGACCCATAGCCATGTGGGGATTCTGATTCAGAGGTTCTCTTCAACACATCGGGTTCATTCGGTTTCTGCACTTTCACAGACCCTGTCGCCCGTAGAATGAGGCAAATATCAATTGATTTTACAGGAATCAGCAAGACTTTGTACGCAGCAGAAATCACATGTGGACTGCAGAGCGCGCTGCCAAACAAACGCTGCCAAACAAACGGTGACTCAGCTGGTCACACCGCGCACTCTTTCAGGGAGCCATGATCACACACTTCATTTGGCACAGCTGCTTTGTTTCAAGATGAAGAGGTCCGAGCTCAATCCGTGTGTTTCATTCAAAGGAAGCCGGCGCAGGCGGCCGGAGTCATGTGTGCCGTGATCAACAGACCCATTTAGTTGGGATTGTCAGCGATGGCCATGGACCCTGTAGGGATTGATTTCCAGGATGGGAACCATCACCATGACCCATGGAGTTTTGATCAAGAGGACAATTGACACTCCTCGCCCTACGAATCTGAGCCCATCCACGGGATTTGGGAAGCGGCTGGTCCGCGGAATCCCATTTTGCGCCAAAAATGCCCCTCTGGGTAAGACTAAAATCAACGCAACTGCGGGACCTCACCCCCACCTCCCCCTTCCCGGACAGAATAAAGCCTTCTTTTTTGGACTATGCTGTCGTGTTTTTTAGGGTGCCCTTTTGCAGGCGGTTCAAAAGGGAAACAACGAAGCAACCGATTTTGGGGTTTCCCTATGTTTGTTGTTATGTTTTGAGGGCACCATCCAGGTTGGTAGGGGAAGCCAAAAGGAACACCGAAGTCCATAGTGGCATTTTGCGGGGTCCGATTCCTAAAAACGACGAGCCACCCATGACTCGAGACACTACCACCACCGAGCCACGGCAGCTGGGCTCGTCACTGGGACTTACGGCAGGTGCTGGAGCTGGTTCGCCAGCATGCGGAGCGCTTCGAAGGCGCGGAAGTCGGGCCGTTGAGTGTCTCCTTCTGAGCTGCGGAGGTCCAAACATCAGAGAAATGTAATCGGGGAGGACAACACCTACGCAAGCGCGGTGCAGCTGTGCGAAAGTAAATGGCACAGGATTCGACACACATTTTGGTTTGGTCCCTGTCACTTTCCTGCCCGCAAAATGCTTAATAAGCAAACGGGCCAAACGCCTACGCAACCATGGCCAGAATATATCGATATGGTGTCCATTACAGGCCACCCCGTTTTTTTCCGTTCGGCTGTTTCCCCGTGACACGGAAAGCTGGATTTATGGTACCCCACAACCCCATTCTAATTCTTTAGCCCCTAATTCTATGGTCCCAGCCCGAACCGACTCAGCGCGGCCGATCACTCCATGGCGGTTGTGGGGCACTTTCCGCTTCGCAGGTCCAGAGGTCCGAAGGTCCCATGCGCAGACCTGAATCCACTCGGGTTGGGTCTGGCTCCAGTCTCATCCCGGATTTTTTTTGTTGCAGGTCTTGGTTTCCCCCCCCTCCAAAGAAAAAGACAAACAAACGGCACGCCGTGAACAACCTGTGGTGGGCCGGCCTTTGCCAGTTTTGGCTTCATGTCGGGTGTTCCCCTTTAAAAGTGATGACTAAACTCAGGGACACCCGCCTATTAATAAGCTGGGGTTGATTAATGTGGGGTCATTACGAGGTGTTGATTGTCACTCAGGTGACTCAAGTGAGGTAGCCTTCGCTTCTTTTGATCCATGAAGGACGCATAGTGGGCGTCGACTCATCAAAAGGGCCCTCAAAAGGATGCTTGGATGATGTGGAGGGTAAACCGACTCTATTTCCTCCGAAACGACAGCACTGCAAACAAAAGCCGCCAGGTGCTAGATACCTCAATCTTAGACCCCACGTTCGGTCCATCACCGGAGAGAAGGTTGGCGCTACCCTCTATTGTGTAGCCCGAGTTTGCTGATGCTCGGGAAACATAGAATATACCTTTTGAAATTTAAGGCTCGCAGGCGGGTGGAGACATTGTCCTGTTTGGTTGGCTCCTGTTTCAGGTATTTTGGCAAGTCATTGCCAACAGCAAGTCAACGTGCGAACAGACGAACACATCGCACGTTTGCGGCGCAGTGCCCAATTGACAGTGCTTCGAGCCTCTGACCAAACCACAGTTCCGGTAGTACAGTTTGCAGACAAGCAAACGTAGAACACCGTACGACCATTTTTTCTGGAGTATCCCCCAGCTTGTTGTTGGGACCTTCTATTGTCCTTGTCCGACAGTAAAAGCCCCAAAGTGTCGCCCTGGTTTCAGATACCCCGGTGGAACTGGTGGCATCTGAGGTTCAGTCACACAATCCAGTAGTCGATGGTCTCTGATGAGTTTGCTGTTTGGGACATTGATCACTGACTAAAATTGGCACACAAATCAGATCCCATCTTTTGTGTGTGTGGGCTAGGTGCCACAAATCGGTTGGTGCCTTTTGAGGTTTTTCTTTGACACCGCCACAGAGAGGGTACCCTCAAAAAAGTCACATTCCACGTCCGTTACAGAAGCAAAGCCGGCGCGCAAAAATGTGCCGCAAAATGTCAGGGGCGGAACCCATGCGCCCTGTCCACGTTTCTGAGTTTTCTTTCTACTAGGTCCCCCAGTAGTGCCCTTTCTCACCCTTTTTGGTTGGGAGGATTCACCTAAAATAGACTACAGGAGAAAAAGATGAAGAAGTGGGTACCAACTTATTCTAAGCTCTCTACTGGAGGACCCAGGTTTGCTTTCTAGCATCCGCTGATAGGGCACTCCCAGCTGACCGCCCAGCTGCCTGACAGCCGACGGCCCAGCGGCCGCGAGTCGCGAGTCGCAGCTCAGCGTGGCGAAGTTAGACAAAGTGTTCCTTTGTAAACCGACCTTTTGACCTTTTGGTTCAAAGCCGACCTTTTGACCTTTTGGTTTTCCCTGTTTGGTCTATTTCTAGTAGGGGTCCCAAAAGGTTAACCTTTTATTGATGGGTCCTTTGGGCAAGTGAGAAATAGGCCATGGTTGAAACCATGGTTTGTTGGTATTTGCTCACTTCCTGAGTTCAATTTTAAAAACTTTGTGGGGCCATTTTAGTGGTAAATCATAAGGTGTAGACCTTTTTTGGGATGCCATCCACTCAGCCAGTGAGTTTACAGTGGACTCATTCCGGGGTTTGAAAGGCTCGCTGGATCGGACAAGACCCGAAGAAATGTGACACTTGTCAACGAATGGGTTTTCCGTATTAAACCACTAAAAATTAATCTCACTTTTAGCAGGGGAGCAGATTTCGCAACCGAGCCCCTCTGTCCCACACAGAGGAATCTTCACCTTGAAAAGGGGGCTCCTTTTGTTCTTCGCTGGATGGAGGGATCGACCGATGAAGCTGCCCGCAAAGCGCGTAGATGATCTTTGGGGGGGTATTCCAACCGCTTGACTTCCTCCGAAAACACAAGATATGCTTCTAAGCATGTGTCCGGTGCCCTTATACATTAGATATCGTTACATTTCCCTTTTTGCAAAGAGTCCCATGTGGCAGCTTCAGCGCCGTTTGAAGGATGCAACTTCAATGGTGCTACGTTTGGGACGGCCCTTGCTCTACTTGGTTTGGCTACGGTGACCTTCGGGGTCAGCCCCGTTCAACATGGTCAACCTTTTGCCACTTGCCGGAGGTGCTTTTGGAGTTATCCCAGGGAACCCACGTGGGTTCCCTTGGAGACAGACCCTCAGTTGTTCAGTGGCACCAATGCTTCTTTCCTTTTGTTGGTGGCTGCCACGCAATAGATTGTTGCTAGGATCATTTAGGGTTTCCATATGTTGTGGGTTCTTCCGCAAAAAGGGTTCCCTTTTTTCCAGGGTCACTGAACAACTGAGGACCCCATGGCGGGCGCCCATCTCTTCTTTTGGGCGTGGCTCGAGGAATTTCCGAGGGACACCGCCGCTCTCATCGGTTTGATGAGACACCACCCCACTCAGGCAGCCTCGCTCGCAAGAAGAGCGGCGCGGATGCGGGGGGCCTAAGACTCCCTTTTGGCGAGCTTTGGTTTGGGACTTGAAGATCCTCACTTCCTGAGTTCCTGGACTTTGTACTGTTTGGGAAGACCATTTTAGTGGTAAAAATAACAAGTTCGGTCTTTGTTGTCGCCAATCGACTCAGGAAGTGAGGGTTTGAGTGCCTGCTCAATCCACCCCACTTCCTGCATCCAGGAAGGAAGCCAAAAGGCGATGGATTGTTTTTGCCAGGCTCCCTCTGCACTTAAAAGATTGAACCCCTTTGGCTGTTTCCCTTTTGTTTGTCCAAATGGGGGCTCCTTTTGGTGTCACCGCGTCAACCCGGAAATCGACCCCCCAAAAACGAAAATGTGCATTTTGAATTCAAGTTGTTGTCCCCCAAAGGGTCCCAAGATTTGATGCCACGCCGAGTCCAAATGATGCAACTAAGCTTGATGCAATTCTGGGGTACGCAGCACTCTTGCCACCCCACCTTCCCGGAGATCTTCCCCAGGTCGACTTCTAGGTTCCAAAAGGTTCAGCTCGGTGGTTCCGGGGCCCTTCAAGTGAGACTTGCTAGGTCCCCCAGTAGTGCCCTTTCTCACCCCTTTTTTTGGCTGGGAGGGTTCCCCTACTAAAATAGACTACAGAAAAAAGGGTGCCCTTATTCTAACCTCTCTACTAGAGGGCCTAGCTTGTGTGTTTCAGGGTTCTCAACAATGCCAGCCACATCTTGACGCCAGCGGACTTATGTCTTGGGTTCTCGTTCTTGGACAGAATCTTCAAACGGGCGCAACGCCAAACATGCCGGATCCGTGCTGCTCTTTGATCACACCTCTAAACAATCGGGGGGGTGATCAACATGGTCCAGAAAGGTCCATTGCTTAAGTTTCCCAGTTGGGTGGCTCGTCTTGGTTTGCGGCTCGATACCTTTTTTTGGTGGTGTTAAATGAACACCAAAAGGAAAACCACAATTTCTGTTGGGCTCGGATTCCTTAAAGAAGAGACACCGGTTGACTGGGCAGTTTTTGACTTTTTCTTGGTCTGATGGTCCCATGCAAAGAACCTTTTGATCCACCCATATTGCTCCATGAAAAGACGGTTTCGTGAACGCCTTCATTTGCCCACGAAAGGGTTTGCTCGTACCTTTGGACCTCCGAAGTATCATGGTTTGTCTAACTACCCCCTAGCTGACTACCCCCCTCCCCCCCCCCAAGTTAATTTGACTGGGGCTAAAAATAGGCTTGGGGGGGGGAGGGGTAGTCAGTTCGGGGGTAGTTAGACATACCGACATACCATGAAACTAAGCCATATGGTTGTCAGGCCAGTGAATCACAGCCACTGTTGTGCCGATTTGTTTCTTGTGGTATATGTACCAGCATACACCACTCCTTGACAGCTTTGTGCACCTTTGCGCACCACACGTCGGCAAAAACAACCGTTTCATGTGGAAAGTAGGGCCCACAGCGTCACCTCTCTTTCACACTTGTGACTTGGACAATGGTTGCTGTTTGCTTTCGGGGGGCGGAAAGGATCAGGGCAACGGGAAAAAGCTGACAGCCATTCTTCACAAGACGAGGTGGTGGCTCTGTTGGCAGAGCTCTTGGATGTGGCGTGCCGAGCTGAGGGGTGAAGGGGTGGGTTGCTCAAACCAGGACTTCACAGCCCAAATGTCTGAACTTCATGGGGAAACATATATATGGGAGTCGTTCTAAAGGTCCTTGTAAGGAGTTTAGAATTCGGCGACCATCGGTGTTGGTTGAGGTAGCTCCGCGAAAGATTCGCGATGGAGTTGCGAAAGTAACTTTTTTCCTCGCGGAAGTTTTGCGTAACTGTATCTTGTAAATCAATGATATGTGAAACCATTTATCTTTGCTGCTGAGCCTTCCTTCTAAGCTGATTAAAACACTTTGTTGACTTTGCACTGATAAAGTGATAAAGCCAGGTGAGGCTACAGTTTGATACCCTGCTTGGCTGGTTAGTGTTCCAAGCCTGCGTATTTGCGTTTGTGGGTGTTTAGTCGGTGGCGTTCCGCTCTGAAACGTGGGTGACTTTTATCGAAAGTTCCGCGAGAGATCCGCGAAAGCCCGCGCGAAAGCGCAGGCTTCGATTGCAAGGGGAGGTACTTTCTGAGCGTCGCGCTAGTCAGTATACTAGCTTGGTACTGGAAACTTGCGACTTTAAGCTAGAGCTGCACGGCCTACGAAAAGCTGCGACTTTCCAGCCGGTTCATGTCATGTCACCCCTGTGATGAAAAGTTGCGACGTTACAGCTGGAGTTGGGGAATCGCATTTCGCGCACTACGCTGGCACTTAAGCTGCGATTTTCTGACTTGAGCAATGAAAACGGCACGGCGATGAATCCGCGAAAGATTCGCGAAAGTAACTTTTTTTTTCGCGAAGAATGGCCGTTTCGAGACAAAGGAATTTAGAACAACCACCATATATATATATATATAGTGCCCAAATGTCTGAACTTCGTGGGGAAATTATGGTTACCTCACAAAAGAAGCTTGGTTTAGAAATCCTCGGGCATGAAGGTTCACTTGGGGGAGGTCCACTATTTTAGGTGTGTGAATGACTCGAGATTCGCCGATTTGTGTTCTGCCGGTAGGTCATGTGGGAAACTCAGAGTTTGACTTTTCGGGGGCCAATTTAGACAGGTGACGACGCAATAGGACAGGCTGTTTTTGATTTGATTGCTGCGCAGGGCGGCGAGCAACTCCACTGCTATTGGATTGGATCTTTAGACTTTAACTTTTTAGATTCCTTTCATATGTCCTTTGAACCAGCAAAAAGTTAAACTTGCTTGGGGATCTACGCCCAAGGCAATTGACAAGATGTGGGATCTTTGTAAAGACCAGCAACCGCCCAGCTAGACTCATCAAAACCCCCGATGATGACAAGCTCATCACGCAAGGGCAAACCTTTCTATTCCTTTAAGTCTCATATGTCCGGAGGTTAGAGCCTACCTGGATTCCGAAAGAATGGATGAGAAGCACAGGGCCGGAGGTCCACAGTCGTTCTGTAGGAAGGACCACTCCCCCAGAATCTTGGGATACCTCACGTTTGAGGCTGAAGGCACGGAAGCTGGGGACATTTTCTCCCCCTCCCTCAAGTGCTTCCTTCAAACCAAGCCAAAAGCCCGACCCTCAATAATCACACACACACCTGTGTAAACTTCCGAACCTCCGAAGCGCGCACCTTACATCTCAGCCCATGGCTTGTGTTTCTGGTTTTGTGACGTTGTGAAAGGGGGATCATGACAGACATTGTTCTCCCATCGTGAGGTAATTGGGTTGAATACCCACAACCTTCGGTAGCAGATTTTGCAGTTCTGGTCAACACGTCTCTTTGGATAACGTCCACCTGGGTATGTGTCAAACTGGGACCAACAAAGTGCTGGTTCTCCTTTAGGCTTCCTGAAGCCTACGGCAAGTATGTGTCAAACTACGGGGACCAACATGCAACTTGCAACATGTTGCAACATGCTGGTCAAGCGACCTGAAAAGGGGCTACCCTCAAAAGACTCGCACGCCCAGCGGTGGTACAGTGGGTGGACAAAATCCTGCACCACAGAATCAAACCTGGAATGATGATTATCCCGCAAATATTGAGAGACGAAGGTTTCTCATGGTCTCAAAGTGGTGCAGGATTTCGCAACCACATTGAAATTATGCGAAACCATTGTTTGTTGCTATCTTCAGGGGAATGGAATCCTTCTAGAATTTCTGAACGGTGCTACCGGTGGTACTGTGGCTGGACGACATCCTGCACCACCGAATCAAACCCTGGAGTGATGACCCCTATAAATACCGTAGCAAACCTTGTGGTGTCCGTTGGCTTCAAAGTGGTGCAGGATTTATGTGCTATCTTCAGGAGAATCGCATTCTTCCAGGGTTGCTGAACGGTGCTGCCAAATGGATTTCGTCCGCTACCTTCGGATTCAGGGGAATCCTTCTTCCAGGGTTTCTGAACGGTGGTGCGAAATGGATTTCGCAACCATCCACAGTACGTCCGTGGAAGAATTGTGTTTTCAACATTGCAGGTCCAGGAGCCTCAGCAAGACCCGCAAGGCCCCAGCACCGGCCTCGCTATGGGGGGGTAGGGTTTGGTTCATGGGGAAGATCCCAAAAATGGGGTCCAGACGTGCCTCTAAATACTCAAGAAAAGGGGCACGTCACAAAAGACAGCCAGCCCAGTCCCTTAACTTCCCCGAAAAAGGCATACCTCAAGAAAAAGACGAACAGCCAATGTGGCAAGTGGGACTGGCAGGAAGCAGTTTGCAATTTGAAACCCGGGCGGGGTTGTGGTCACTATGGACCCATTGGACCTTGAAGTGACTCGCGCAAGCTAGCAGGGTCCAAGGAAGCCACCTGACCACCTGAACATGGATTGCTTCCTTTTGGGGAACTTCCAAACAAGGGACTGCTCAATTGAATGAGACAACCTCCACATGCTCACTCGAGCCGCTCACCCTTTGTGATTCAAATCAAAATTTGATCGTGCTTCAAAAGCAGTCCTTTTGGTGGCTTCGTATGGGCAGATGAGTATGATTTCGACAACAGCTGAAAGCGTAGACTACCAGAAAAGAATCAGGCACGATGGGTAGACATAGGGTCTGTTTTTTAAAGGGACCCCCCCCAAAAAAATATGGTGGTTTTCCTTTTGTTTCCCTTTAAAAACCCCAAAACAGAACGGGGGCCCTCAAAAAAAGACACGCCTCCATGGAAGCAGTTCCCATTCGCTTTGCCCGCGAGGTGGGGGCAAAAATGCCGTTAGCTTCCAAAACCGACCTACTGTGGGTGGACGAAATCCATTTCGCACCACTTTGAAACCGCTGCAAACCATAAAGTTTGCTACGGTATTTACAGGGGAATCATCACCCCAGGTTTTTTTTTTGGGGGGGTGGTGCCAAAGAGGGTTTCACAACCATCCACAGTATTCCAACCTTTGGTTTTCCTATCCTATTTTGGGTCCATGTCACGGCCTTGCAAGGCGATCACCCGTTGTTGTTGTCGCCTTTTTTTTTCAGGTCCAAGCTATGGCCCACCAAAAGGATGATCACCTGTTTTTGTTTTCTTCCAGGTGCAAACTGGGCAAGTGGGAGAATGAAGCGCCAGCTTTGAGACATTTGGCACATGAAGGCGCCTGGAGGATCGCTCAGGGGTGCTCTAGGAGAAGCCAGGAATGCCTTTTTTTTGTAGAGGCCGTAGAATGCTCCCCAAAGAACCCCAATTTTTTGATTCCGAGACCAGCATCACCAGGATGACCCTTGTTAGAGATTCCTTATTTACGCTTCTCCGAAGTTAACGCAGTTTGTGAGGTATGGATTAAAAACAATAATGTGTTTGTTGCTCACTTGTAGTGTGGATCAATTGTGGTTGCTACCTAGTGCAATGTTGCTTTGGGCTGACGTTCGGTTGTATCTTGAGCCTGTGATTTTTCCTAATGACCGGCAAACGTGTTTTTGTTGCCCCGTGGCAACAGCCACACAGTGCGTGCTGACATAGCTTGTTCGCAGTTCTCTTGTACTCTCGTTCTAAGAAACCATCAAACAAGAAGTTATCCGGGAAGTTCGCCCAAAGCCCTGGCTGTTGTGGGTGTTTTTGGCGATTTGTGTCAGGAGAAAGCTCCGGAGCTGGTTCCAAGATGAGTCGACAGATTTGCCCCTGGTCGCTGGGTCGCCCGATGCTCCAAGGAAGGGGAGCGACGTGAGGAGCCTCGAAATGGCCGAGGCAAATTTCGCGGTGTCACGGCGACAGGGGAGTTGTCGGGCCAACGGACACTGCCAAGTTCCAACCATACATGGGTGTGGCTCAAAATTCAAGAGCTAGGGTTACGCAGGTTTTGGTCTTTGGTTCCATTTGCCAAGGTGCCATTTTAGTACATGTTTCTGAGCCACAGCCACATGTCCCCTTTCTGGACACGGGAAATCGTTGCGCCTCCAGTGGTCTCCTTAGTGTTGTGTTTTTTTTCTGGCAATTAACTACCAAAACTGGGCGCTGAATGAAACGCAACTATGCATTTGCACCAAAAGAAACCGACAGCCAAAGTTTTTGCTTCCTCGTGACCCCCATCTTTCTACGGCCAGTTTTCGCAAGTCGGCGGATTTTGAGCCGCACGCCTCGATTCTGGCACCCCTGAGCCAGCAACGAACCGAGAGAGCAGAGGGTGGAACCAAAAGGAAGTCCCGGGCAGATCGACGGGTGAAACAACTTGCCAAAACTAGGTCCGCCAGTAGTGCCTTTTGCGTGTTTAGTGAGGATGTCCATTCAATCCACTGAACATTTTCACGGTTAGCGGAGGGATCCGAAAACGGACAGCCCGGCTTTACACTACTAGGTCCGCCAGTCGTGCCCTTTTACCCTTTTTTTGGGGAGGGCTCCCATACTAAAATAGACTACAGAAAGAAGGGGTACACTTATTCTAACCTCTCTACTGGAGGACCTAGAAAAGGAACAGGTTGCCTTTTTGCGGACGGATCTTTCAGCCAGAACGTGGGGTTCGAATTGCTTTTGTTTGTGAGTTGATGGAGCCCGATTGATCTGTGAATTTGGAAATAGAAGAATCAAAATTCTAGATTGGGTGGCCCCAAAATCAGTGTGGGTTTGTCTGGAAAAGGATGTTACACCTTCCAGTTTCCCAGAAAGAAGTAACTAAAAGAAAGACACAGCCCCCAAAAGACACCCAGCATGTTAAGGCAGGGCCTTCAATTTTCAGGATCATTCCAGCAAATGGGAACGGATGAGTGGACTGCTCAATTCTTCGAGGGGTGGGGGCAAACGTGCTGTTTCACTTTGGGTGCATTTTGCTTGGATGTTAGGACTTGAGAGCTTTTTGCCGTTCGAATGTGTTTTCCGTATTAAACCGCTAAAAGTGAACCTTTAGCAGGGCTTCGCAGAAAGCAACCGAGTTCAATAGGGCTGGACCCTTCCCTTGGGCGATTTTCACCACGAAGCCTTTGCGCCAGGCCGCGAGATCCGCCTGGAGCGCCGCGATGCGCGAAAGGCCGGGCAGTCCGGGTCGTTCTCTTCGGTGTTTTAGCTGGAACAAATTGGCACATGGGTGTGGCTCAAAATTAAACAGGAGGGGCCAACCGCAGGTTTTTGGTCCATGTTTCCACTTACCAGGGTTCCATTTTGGTACCGGTTTTTTGAGCCACAGCCACAACAAGTTTGACTCACCCATTTTGGTGGCAAGCAGTTTTCGCCAATCCACTCAGAAAGTGAGGTGAGCAACTGACAAAAATAATGGTAGACTATGGAAAGGCGTGTAATTTCCGCCAAATCAAGAACCCCTTCCTTTTTCATCGTCTCTATATGTGGTAGTCTGTTGGTGGTTTTGTATGTAGCTGTTCGTTGGTGGTTTGGGGATGACCACCCAATCTTCCTATGTTCTTGCAGGGAAACGAGTAATTTCGTGCAGGGCTCCCGCCGGCTTTGCTTGAGGGTAAGCTTTTATTGATCTCCCGCTGCGTCATGGTCAATCCTGTGCCTTATCGGCAGGGAGTCATAGACGTCGCACCAAATGGCCAGGAGGAGTTGGGTACCATGAGTCACAATCAAAACCCGGGAAATTGGAGGGTAGTAAGGGACAATCCCAGCCACAAATGGTTGCGGCCGCCTTTTTAGTTCTTTACATGGTTCTGGGTAGACCATTTTAATACCAGGTTTTGACTATGACTCTCATGAGGAGAGCCCTAAACTGGCAGTCCGTCGGGTTTTCCCCAGTCCACGCCAGAGCTCAAAATGTCCCTCACGGGCGTGCAAGGACAAATTGGTTTCTCCTTGAAACTGAAAGGACAAGGGGCCACTTACGTCTTGAGTACAAGCTCGCTTCAGACCGGAGAATGATCTCTGGGTCTGAGGCATTGCGGCCTCTTCCATGACCATGGTCTCAAAGAACCTGTGTGGGTCATCCTTACCCTGCGACTTGAGATTTTCCCTCAAGCCAAGTCTTCAGAGTGTCTCCACATGGGCTCGGCCCCCCTTTTGCTTGGCCCCACAAAACTGGTGGAACCCCTACAAAACTGGTGGAATTCCACAAAACTGGTGGAAACCCCTACAAAACTGGTGGAATTCCACAAAACTGGTGGAAACCCCTACAAAACTGGTGGAACCGCCACAAAACTCAAAGACCAACCAAAAGGAAGCCGTTGCCATTTCAGGGCGCCAAGTCCGCCCCTCAAAGGCCAGCCTTGCAATGCACCAGCCTCGTGGAAAAGTGGTCGATTCCTATGAGAAGTGGTGAGCTACTAGAATGACCTGCGTGCATATGTGAATTCCCTTGATAGGGCGGATGTGTTTGAAGTGTAGGCCAACCCTACAGGTCTGCGTTGCGGTTTATTATGGTACGTGCCATGTAGAGCAGGAGACATGTCCGGCGTGCTTCTGACCCGTGCAGTTTGTCGCCGGTTCAGCCCATGACTTCCATCAATGTCTTCTTTCCAGCCCCATGACCTCTCCTTTAAGGGAACCTAAACAGGCTCCAATCAACCGTGTCCGATCGCTTGCAATCATATGGCATCCCAGAGCCTTTTGGTAGAACCCATGTACGGTCACCCTTGCAGGCTCACCTTGGTTTAAAGGCGTTCAAAGGCGTTTAAAGACAAAGCGCGAAGAGCGCCTATTTCGGGATCCGCCTACTTTGGCATATCCATTTTGAACCATCTCAGCCACCTGCCAGCATCCGAATGTATGTTCCCGGTTCGCAGGATGACCGCGAACACCGCGAGGAGCGTCGGGGTGTGCTGCCCAGTGATACGTTCACCAGACTTCATAGCTGAGCGAGCTGATTTTGTTTGTCATCTAAGGTTCTGGGGCGGACGACATGAGGCGCACAAACCCCCAAAATGCAATTGGGAAATGGGGGGGGGTTACTCACCCACAAGGCTCCCAATTTGAATTCATACCCAGGAGGTTTGCAAAACCACGACGGTCAATGCGTGCTACTTGAGAATACCCAGCTCAAGCTGGCACTTCACGAGCCGGCAGGTTTCCAAGTACCAATCGCCGAATCCACCCCCTTGCATTTGTTTGCCGAAATGGCGAGTTGACTGGGTGGTGAACAATGAGCTCTCAATGATACGGAGGTACCATCTCGACCACCCCGGACCCTCCGACCATCCCAACAGTCTCGACCATCCCGACCATAGACTGTCCCGACCCAACCAGACATGATGATCCGATGAACTCGTGAGGTGCGAAAGGTCGGCATTTCGCCCCTCCCAAAACCATTTCGCTACCCGGACATCCCAATCCCAACCGTCCCGACTTCCCGACCATCCAGCCCTCAAATGACCATGGGCAACTTTCCCCATTTAGTGGAACATATCCTTTCCGATGTGTTCAGTGGTTTCCAAACCAATGGCCATCCTTTGTATCACCTTTTGATCCATCCCCACATCCCCATCATATGCCGTACATCTTGATCGACATATACGCATACATAGACATAGACATTGACATATACATGTGCGCATACAAATACGCACACATACCTGGACCCACCGTGGGCACTTTTTTTGGGACAGTCGGCCTAAATCCGTCCGTTTCTCGGAAAAGCGTACGTGGCAGCGAAAAAGGGTCCGTTTCTTAGGTCGTCCTTCCTTTGCAATCCCACATAGGGAACAGTCCCCTTTTGCGTCGCCCCGCTTCAACATGCTTTGGCCGAAACATTAAGATCTGGCTCATTTTTAACTGCCTCCATATAGAAACTTACGCTGGCACAAGGGCCCTTACGTGTCAAAACCGTTTGCGGGAAGCCTTGCGGCTTTGCCAACAGCGTCCTCATTTGCTTCGTAGCTATATATGACAAGAGCGCAAGAACAATCCATCAAGGAGCTGCTGAGGTCTTGTTAGCCTGCACGAAATGAAGGCAACAAAGCTCTTATTTACACGGCCCGCCGCAGACACCGGTCCTAATAGTCTCTGTAGGCCACGCTCGATGCTCGTATTGCACAAGCCCATAAGAATTCAACAAATGCTTTCCCAAAACTCTTGACGGATGCACGTAGCTTTGCGTATTTGAGTCCACAGCTTTTAAGGGAAGCAGGAAGCAGTGGCGGGGACTTTCAGCTAAGGAGCTTCGCCCATGGCTTGAGTTCTCAAAGCACGCGACAAGGCAGACAAGAAATCTTGAACACAGCGCGTGAATCATAGCTTTGCACAATCTAGGTTCCCACGACCACAAGACCCGTAGAAACCAGGTATTATCTGTTTCCCGCCATTTTCCGTCTGTTTTGTGTCTTCCAAAGTCAGACAAACTTTGCAACATGTTGCATGAATGAACACATCAAAGGGGGCAAAATAATTAGGTCCGCCTTGCCCGGCAGCTCTCAGAGCTCAACAGGTAGGCAATCTCAAAACATTCGTGGATATTGAGCTCCCTGCAGCCGTTGGCAAATCGAAATACACCAGTTTATGCGCATCTGAGTGAATGTTCTGGTAGCCCTTCTGGTTGAACATGTTCAGATATCGTTCGCTCGTGGCTACTGGGGCGGGCCACAAGGGTTTTTTGTCGTAGAAGCAACGCACACCCCAAGTCTTGCGTTTGACAAGTTCTTTCCAGGGGCAATTGGGAAGTCGTCAAATCTTGCATGGGGGAGAGATGTTGGCATGCAATACTCTGTTGTGACAACACGTGACAACGTGTGAGGCCCTGCTTACTGTACTTGATTTGCGCTATAGAACCTTTGGACTGCAGCTGGCACAAAGCATTGATGCAGAATGGTACCAGGGGGTGCACCTGAAAGGGTTTTGATAGAAAACAAGTGGAGCAGGCAGGCAGTTGGTCAAAAGCTTTGCAACGGAAGCATGCAAAGACATAGCCTCCGCAAACTAACTGTAAAGAAAGAACAACAACTGCCTCAATTCCTCCAAAACTGTTTTCCGTCCGTGGGTCCTCAAAAGAGTCAGCTGATGGAAATTTGTGGCACAGACGGACATGTCCATGCTTTAGGAAGGTCCAGGTATACACATGCATACACGTACAAATGTCGCCCCCCCCCAAAGAACAAAAAATCCGAGGCCGAGAGGATGGGCGAAGGGCTGAGCCCCGGAAGGAGATCCGAGATCCGGGGCGGATTTTTTGTTTTGCCCGAGCTGTTCGAAATCCCCCAGGTGCGATAGACGGGAAATGTGAGTTGGAGTGAACAAAGGAAAATTGGTCCCCGGAGAACTTCCATTTGCTTAAGACTATGTTGTTGTTTGTTTTGCCCTGTTGGTGTTAAAAGGGAAATCAATCATCAATAAACCATCACTACTGGACATATTGTTTGTTTTTCCTGGAGCCTGAACCAAATGATGGAAGATAAAGGAAACCACCAGAGGGATGGTGTATGAGGGTCATTCCATTTCCAATTCCCTGCCAAGAGCACCAGGTCAAAACATGGGGAGATGAAGCTTAGCCCTTGAGAAATAGAAGAAGGCCTCCTTCATTACCTGGCTTTAGATCATCTAGGTCCCCCAGCTGGGTGCCCTTTCTCACCCCTTTTTAGGGCGGAGGATTCCCCTACTAAAATAGGCTACAGAAAAAGGGTACCCTTATTCTAACCTCTCCACTGGAGCACAGTTACTTTGGTACCAGGGTTGCTTGTGACTCATAGGAATCTGCCTTGCGAGCCATAGACTTTGCAGATAGGAATCCCATTTAAGAACTGCGAGGCAACCGCCCTTTTTCCGAGTCAAGTGAGCTGTTTGCAACTGGAATGTGCCATGGTTTCTTCCCGGGACGTCCCGGGCAGTGCATTGGGCACAGTCTGCCTCCTGCAAGTAGCCCTGTTTGGCCGAGTCTAAGGGAACTCATGGCGGGCGGAAAGTGAAAGTTGGTTGGTAAAAGGCAGAGCCGCGTTGCGGTGTGGCTTCAGATGGTTGAAGGCAGGTGTCGATGGTACGGCCCAATGATTTGCTCCAGGGTTTGTCCTTAAACCCCTTGCTTCCATTTGCTTAAGACGATTCTTTATTTTCCCCTGTTGGTTTTAAAGGGAATCTATCACTTCTGTTTTTGTGGTTTTTGTTTTTTCTCGGGGGGCTTAAGCACATGGACACTTCGACGAGTGTTTTCCTTCCACTCCCCAAGAGTCCAACTCCTTGGCACGTGGCTGGGGATCTTAGACATCGAGGTCTTGCAGCCCAGAGCCAACTTGCCGGCCGCAAATGCTCAAGCTGAGCAGAAGAACATGGGCGATGCCTTGATGCTTTTTTGGTGTGAGGCAAGATGTTTTTTTGGTTTGGACGGGGAAGGACATATTTGGATCATATCGAATGCGGGTTGGGGGAATCAAGCATTTCGCGGCCCATGCGAAGCCGTCACTGAAGTGTGCTCCTTCTCCTCCCTGCAGCCATGGGTGGAGCGTCCTCTCAGGAGAGTTTGAGCAACTCGGTTGTCCAAAACCGACCTGACCTTTTGGTTTTCCTATTTTGGTCTGTGGTTAGTCAAGATCCAAAAGGGTGATCACCTTTTATTTCCAAGTACTTTGTGCAAGTGAGGCAAGGAGGAGTGCTTGCAGCTTCGTCGCAAGCATTTCTGTCCTGCCCAGAGCGTGTCATATGCGAATACAAATCCTTTGATGATCATGAGCGGCAGGGGCAGCCGCTTGTTCGACGAAAGCGGTGCCTCGTATCATTGACGGACTTAGCCTTTTTGTCCGATTTGCCCTTGGGAGGATTTTCCTTTTTGAATCACCAACAGTTGTCACTTTTGCAGGAACCCCCTTTTGGGGTTTTCTTCATTTTCCTAGGCACCACCGAGTTACTGTATGCCACTTTTTCGCATGGGTTTCGCACGAGGTATCTGGACACCCGAAACAACGTGTGCCACGTGGGGCATGCACATCCAAAGGTGGCTGCGGCCGTCGCACGGCAGGCGGCCGAGTTGAATACCAACACCAGGCGTGCTGTTGCGAAAACGCCTGAGGAGAATCGGAAGACCCGGCCTAACCCAAAATCCCCCAGCTAGGTGCCCTTCTCTCCCTTTTTTTGGTTGGGAGGGCTCCCCAACTAAAATGGACTACAGGAAAAAGGGCCTCTCTGCTGGAGGACCTAGTAACCAAAATGCCGAGGTCTTCCATTTGGTCAATTTTCAGGGTTCTGGTCATGTGTTCTGCTCGTTTCAGATTGTGCCCAGGGAAGATCTAGGAATGGTGCAAGGATTGGCCTTTGGTCTACCGACAAAAAAATCCGAACAATGTGTTTGGTGTACACGGTATTGTGTTTGAGTGGCGACCTGAAAACGAAGAAGCACAACATTACTCCTTTAAAAAGGGGGTGATACAATCAACAAGTGGCACTCGTTTCGCAGATTCTCTTTTGTCAGAAGAGACACCCGTTTCCTTGAGAACCAAGTCCTTGTACAACCAACTCAAATTTATTTTGCATGTGTGTTGTGGTTCTTCGGTTTTTCTCTGGGTGTTCACACCGTTGACCACATAGTTGCATCCCGTTGGGCGTGTTTTGGCTTGGTTTTCGCATATGTCCGGCCAGGTATTTGCATCCCAAGCTGTGCCTTTTGGCGAAACGCCTCACTGAGACCTTTCCCAAAGGCTCCGGACTGGAGGTGGGGAGCTGGGGGAGCCGAAGATGTGCCGGGTGGAGTTTTTCTTTTTTTGGGGGGACCCACCAGAATGGTTGTTGTTGGGAAACATTGGACACATTTTTGCTTGTGGTGGTTTAGTGGTTGAATCCAAATCCACTCAATTTCTAAAATTATGATTTTTGCTCCCCTTCGAACGTCAACCAAGCACCAGAATGGTGGTTTTCCTTGTGGTTATCCTTGAAACCATAAACAAGGGGTACCCCCCAACACCGACACACCCACCTGAGCCACGTCCTCACAACCGATTCGGCTAGATGGAGGTTAGTAAGGGAGACTCCCAGCCATAAATAGCTGCGGGAATTGTTGCCTTCTTAGTTCTTGAAGCCTGGTTCTGGGATTACGACCATTTTAATACCGAATCGGTTTTGAGCAAGTGACTCACATGGAGATGGAACCGAACTATCCGCTTGAACTCACCGGAGTTCAACTGAGTACTTGTTGGGTTTGGTTGCTGCAGAGGTACTCTTCCTCCTAACATGGCACCTCTGGGGAAGTACCAAGATTAATTTCCTCCCGGTCAGTTGCCATGGCAGCGTGGGAGGGAGGGTAAATAATAAAATTCATGGTCGCGGGTTCGCTTCGGTCCTAGTTGCTGGCTCGCTTCGGTCCTAGTTTTCATCTCGCTTCGGTCCTAGTTTCCTTACTCGCTTCGGTCCTAGTTTCTTCGCCGTTGACTATGGTGTTTGAGAGGCAACATCCTTGTCGACCCCACCCCACCCGGCATGTCTTGTTGTTAGGTGTTTGAGAGGCAACATCCTTGTCGACCCCACCCCGCCCGGCATGTCTTGTTGTTAGGTGTTTGAGAGGCAACATCCTTGTCGACCCCACCCCGCCCGGCATGTCTTGTTGTTAGGTGTTTGAGAGGCAACATCCTTGTCGACCCCACCCCGCCCGGCATGTCTTGTTGTTAGGTGTTTGAGAGGCAACATCCTTGTCGACCCCACCCCGCCCGGCATGTCTTGTTGTTAGGTGTTTGAGAGGCAACATCCTTGTCGACCCCACCCCGCCCGGCATGTCTGGTGTTTGAGAGGCAACATCCTTGTCGACCCCACCCCGCCCGGCATGTCTTGCTGTTAGGTGTTTGAGAGGCAACATCCTTGTCGACCCCACCCCACCCGGCAGTTCTTGTTGTTAGGAGTTTGAGAGGCAACATCCTTGTCGACCCCACCCCACGCGGCGTGTCTTGTTGTTAGGTGTTTGAGAGGCAACACCCTTTGCGTGTGTCCTGTTGTTAGTGCTCAAAAAGCTATCTTCCACTGCGCCTGAAGTGATCCAAAAATTGCGACAGAAGTGATCCGCAAATGCTCAAACTACGACCAAAGTGAGTGGATTTCAGCTGCGACCAAAGTGATCCAAAAACTGCGACCAAAGTGATCCCCCCGCCATAATAAAAAGTGTGGTTACTTTGTTTGGCCAATTCACTCAGACAGTGAAATGAAGGGATCCTTGAATGAGAACCAACGACGATTCGTTGGACCCGATCCTGGTACTTGTAGTTCCCCTTAAGCGATAGACAAAAGGTGTGGATCCATTTGGGGAGCAGTTTGTGCTGCATTCCAAGGCGGTCGCAGAGGGAAAAAATGCCAAGCCCCCAACCAGTGGCGTTGCGAAAGACATACCAGTAGCCTTACTATTGCCTTACATTTGGCCGTACAAATGACGTGTGTGGAGACTTCAGCTGAAAGGACGGATGTTTGTTGGGAGCAACATACCTTAGGTTGAAATAATGCAAACGTGCCCGGGTTATTCATCACAGCATGTCTCCAAGAGGTTGGTGTGTTTTCTTTCTTCCCTTTCATGTCATCCAGATTTTGAGACATACCCATTATTTACTGCCGTGATTTGACCAGCAGCGACCTTAGGGCTGCAACACAATTCGTGAAGCTTCCTTAGGCCTCAACTTCTTTTCTTTCGGGGTGACTGAACTGAGTAGGACCTCCGTTTGGGCGATTTGTGGGACTGCTCGAACATGTTCTCTGGCTTCCCTTTAAACCAGTCCCAAATGGGTTCAACCCGGGGGGGGGGATGAGCCAAGCACCGTGGTTTGAGCACCCCTTCAGGACATGACTTGTTCTTCTCTTGTTTTTTTTGGTGGTCTTCTTGAGCCTCACGCGCCTTACACCAAACAGGATTCTCAATTGGGAATCAAGAGGGGTTACCTGGGTTTGCATTGCTTAAACCAATTTGGCTTCGTGCAACCTCAAAAACTTGCTGCGATGAGGACTGGGGGGGTGGGGCTGGCTGAGTTGGAGTTTTTGGTTGGGCCTATAGTTCCCCTTGAAGGGGGGGTCCCTTTATTTTTCCCCATTTACAGTTTCCCAAGGACACTAGTGGGATGGCTCAGTTTCAGGTGTTTTTGGCTTTTTTTCCCCATTGACAGCAAGCTTCCCTTGGGTGGGGTGAGGTTGAAAGGGGACCTAGGCAGCCCCTCCGAGAACCAGGAAACCCCAGGGCTCACAGCCCTGAGGTGTGCTTCTTCGTGAACAGTGGGTCCGAGGCCAACGATCTGGCCGTGCGGCTTGCCTTCGCACGCACCAAGAGCCGGAAGATCGTGGTGGTGGACCATGGCTACCACGGCCACACGCAACAGATCCCCAGCTGGGATCTGATGAGAGGAGTCCACCCTTTGTCCTAGGTTAATATTTTTTGTTGGCCCAACATGTTGGTTTTTCCTCTTGGCACCCCTTAGAACCACCTGAAAACGGGTACCTCCCCCCCACAAAAGAACACAGGCCTTTTTTTTGTGTTTCTGAAACACGAAACATGGTCAACAAAGCGTTCCCTTTTTTGCCATGGTCAAAGGGCAACTGCGGATCCCAGGATCGTTTTTTTTTTTTTTGCGGGTGTGTCTTCCTTCGTAGTTCAGCCCCGCGAAAGATGGATGACATGTTCAGAATGTCCTAATCCTCATTTCAACGGAGTACTCCAAGGCATTTGTTTGAATCACAGGAAAAAAATGTTCACGTGTATGGACCCAGATGGTTTTGTATACAATTCGGCTTTCTGGTGTTCTTCCAGCCAGCTTCCATCTGAAAGTGTCCAACGTCTTTTTGGCACCTAGGTGGCTTGTTTGGAGTTCTTAGTTCCTTTGTCTTTTGCAGGCAATGACAATGAATCCACCAGTCAGCTTTCATGTTAGCGGATTGGAGGGACCACTTCTTGGATGTTTGGCCAAGTTAGACACCTATGCAAAAACCCACTAATTACAAGGTTAACTCCACGTAGGGGGACTTATAAGCGGGTAAAAGCCTAGGGTATCAACAACTCACTAACTTGGCCCCCAAGTCCCTCTCCAAGCAACCAGGCCGGTTACCTACGATAGTCAGGGTGTTGACCCAGGACTATCGAGATAAGTCCCTACAAGTTCGACCACAAGGGCGGTGAGGGTCCTAAGCCCAACATCCACAAGGTGCCTTGCCCCTGCACCTTTCGCGGCCCGTTCCGAGGCGGGGGGAGCTGACTTGTCTTTTCTTGCTTGGATGTTCAACCAACTTAATTAGGTCGGTTGATGTTGACCCCGGATTGATGAGCCGGTTTTATTAGCAGGGGGTGTTCCCCTCCAAAAGTGATGAACCCCCACTCAAAAGGGGACACCCCCCTATTTATGAAACAGTTTTTTTTTTTTAAACCCGGGTTCCCATTATGACTGTTTGTGGCTGGAGCAGCTGGGGTGAGTGAATTCACCCGTTCGTGGCTGGGGAAAAAGTGGGGTCGAGCGGCCTCCAAAGCCCCAAGAGGACAGCTAGATGGCTGTGGGTTAAAATGAAACCAGCGGAGCGCAGGTTTTGGTCCATGTTTCCACTTACTAGGGCTTGCGCCATTTTGGGTACCCTCCCTCCCACGTTGCCATGGCAACTGACAGGGACCCGGTCCCTTCAAAAGGAATTTGATCTTCCAGGTACCTTTTTACAGTTGGAGGAAGCCATGTTAGTTGGCTTGTTAAGGGCTTAATAAGGGCTCCCTCCCCCTCCCCTCCCTCCACCCCAGCCCCCATGAATTTTGGGTACCTAGAGTCTCCATGACCCTTAAAAATGGGTCCATGACCCCTTAATTTTGTGTAATGACCCCATTTTGAAAGGGTGATGGAGACTCTAGGGTACGTATTTTTGACCCACGGGCGGATGGTTTTTGCCCTGCCGAGGCCCAGATGCCTCGGAGAAATACGCCGCCACGGTGGCCCAGGCGTGTCAGGAGAGCGCCGAAGGGGTGGCAGCCTTCTTTGTGGAGTCCGGCATGTCGGTGGGCGGGGTGATCCTGCCACCCAAGGGCCACGCGTCGTTTATTTAAGTGGGCACACATCTTCTTTGTTTGCTTGTTTTATTATCTCGTCGTTTTCTGTTGTTGTTCTCGTGTTTACTTGTTGGATGACCTGCGTTACAGCCGTAAACCACATATTGATCCAATTTGTTTTCCGCGCTTTTCCTTTGTTACAAGCGCAAACTCGTGGCTTTTGTCCAGCGTTTCGTCCGAAGCCCGTGCTGCCAAATTGCTTTGTGGATTGAGTTTGGAGGCTAGAGCTTGGGTTTCCCATTTATTTTCTACAAGAAGCAAAGAATAAAGCCCCCAGCCAGCAACCCAAACCAGCAAATAAGGATTACCTGACAAGGGGAACCATCCCTTGGGGTACACATGATCGAATTCAATCCCTGCCCGGGGGAGCCAATCTCTCCTAATGTTGACCCGTCCGATTTATATAATAGGGCCCCGCCAAAAGTGGTCTGAAGACACTCCCCAATCAAAATTGACCAGGCGGTTCATAATCTGGGGTCCCATTGCAGGGAATCATGTATTGAGGGTGGATTCCCCGAATTGTAGTAGTTTTTTTACGTATCCAACACAATCCAAACCCAACCATCCTGACAACAACAGGAGCAAACAACACTGGGATGCCCTGCATGTCGTTTCAAGGGTAACCTTTTCGAGGTCAAGTTGTGGGGGAGGGTTCCCCTACTGGAGGACCTACTTTGGATGGGCGAAATCCTGCACCACCCAAAAAATCCTGGGGTGATGCTTCCCCTGTAAATACCAACAAACACTGGTTTGCTATGATTTCAAAGTGTTGCAGGATTTCGTCCACCCACAGTAGTAAATCGAACGACTTGCACCAGTACAAGAACGCCAATGCACGGGCTGGCGCCTGCATGGGCCCGTCTCAAACTTAGGGACCGCTTATTGCCAACTTATTGCGGTGGGCGGCTTTCTTTTGAGCTCTTTCAAACAGGAAATCCTCGCTGTCAACTTTGAAACCCCTCAAAAATGGTGCTGTTTTTTCGGAGGGTACACATTGTTTGCGGCTTTAAAGGAAAAGCACAATCTGGTGGGGGTCCAAATCCTTAAACAAGACACACCCAAATGGCTGAAGGGTCCCTTGTCTCAAGTAAATGATGTCCACCAAAGTGTCCAATTCAAACTTACGCTCAATGAAGCCAAGCGCAGGTGAACATCCATGGATCTTCCCCGACATGTGTGATCACCTTTTTCAGGCGGCTGTGCCAGGGTCTGAACCATGGCTCGACCTTCTCACCTGTTGGTTTTCCATCTCGCCCATGGCCATCCCTTTACTTCCACCCCTCACCCTTTTTGCCATCCTGGCCAACCCCTCCGCCAACCCATCCAGCCCAACCTTCCATTGGCTGGAATGAATATTTCCCCTGTTCCTTTTGAAGGGACTCTATGACTACTGGAAATATTCATTTTCTCATTTTTTCCAGGGGGCATAAGCAAATAACAGCAACCCGTCACCAAATCGCGCTCCAGGGGTGCTTGTACATACCCCTTTTACCCCTTGGACAAATGAACCCAAAAGGCCTGCTAATGTTCATACCTGTCTCCCCAAAAGAGGTTTATACCCCTTATAAAGTGGGTTTGAAACCATGGAAGCCAAAGGGGTGTGTGCTTCCACCCTTAGAGGGTAGAGTTACAAGGAAACCAAAAGGGTAAACAAGGAAACCAGCTCGATTTGAGAAACCAACTGATTGAAGAACAAAAACATGAAAACACATCCTTGAGGACTCACCAACGCTTTACTTCAACCCGTCACCCAGAAAGCCAATCCAAACCCACCAACACGCTCGGAGCCCGCAGAAGCCTCTCCCCAAAAGGGGGTATATACTCCTTATAAAGTTTGAAACCACGAGGGGTATGTATTTCCACCCTTAGCTGTACATACCCCCTGTTGGTTTTAAATGGAATCTATGACTACTCGACATATTTTCTCATTTTTTCCAGGGGGCTTACACAAACGGCAGCAACCCCTCACCAAACCGCCAACCCCTCACCAAACCGCTGCCAAACGGCCAACCCTTTACTTTAACCCCTCACCTTAAAAGCCAATCCAAACCCCCTCCCTAAAAGCCATCCTGGCCAACCCCTCCAGTCGATAGATCCATCCAGCCCAACCTTCCATTTGCTTAAGAATATTTGGGATTTTCCCCCGTTCTTTTCTAAGGGACTCTATGACTACTGGAATTGTTTTGTTTTCCAGGCTTGATTTATTTTTGGACATGGCCCCTCACCAAACCGCTCACCAACCCCCTCACCAACCCGCTCAGAGCCCCAGGCTACCTCAGCGCCTGCTACGCCGCGGTGCGAAACGCCGGGGGCGTCTGCGTCGCCGACGAGGTGCAGGTGGGCTTCGGACGCTTCGGAGAGTTCTTCTGGGCCTTTGAGCAGCAGGAGGCGTGGGACCATCGCATTGTGTTTTTTTTGTTGTGGTGTAAATATATATATATATATTTTATAGAGAGATATACAATATGTATTTATGTATATATATATATGTATAGAAACCGTCACATACATGGTTGATTTAATGTGTGTTTGTTGTTTAAATATAAAGATGTTATTATTATTATCATTAGTTATTATGATTATCATTAAGTATTATTATTATCAGTATGTGCATATTATAGAAACCGCCACATGTATGGTTTTTGTGAAAGGAGTAAACCACGTCACATGCATTTGATTGTTTGTTTGTTTGCTTGTTGGTTGGTTGGTTGGTTGGTTGGTTGGTGTTGTTTGTTTGTTTGTTTGTTTGTTTGTTTGTTTGTTTGTTTGTTTGTTTGTTTGTTTGTTTGTTTGTTTGTTTGTTTGATTCTTGGTTTGTTTGTTTGCTTTGTTAATAAGAAATGAAGCCATATAAACAAAAGCGGGGGTTATCAAACTCACTTCCTGAGTTCATGGACTTTAGTCACTTTTTGGGCTTGGACTCTAGTAGTAAGTAAGAAGTTTGGTTACCTTTCTTGTTTGCCCAGTGGAGCCCGTTGTTCGGTTTGTATTTGGGAAGGGTTCCTCTTTAAGCCCAACCAACCAACAAACCGTTTTTTTTTTCCGCACAGCCAATGGGCATCCGGGTTTGTTCTATGTCTTCGCCTTTTTGGGTTTGCAAAGAGTTATGTTTTTTGCGGGGGGTCTTGACCGAAGAAGCTAAAGGTCAAGGCGTAATTGATCTTTGCTTTTCTTCGCTGTTCTTGGCATGTGTTGTGGTTTTTTAGTTTTTTGCTTCTGTTCATGTTTACTGGGGGTCTGCAAAAAACAGTCAGTTTTTTTTGCCAGCCCATACCAAGAGTAGAGATGAAGCATTTTGCCAGGTTTCCTGAAAGCATCAACGGACCTTGCACCCCTGGAAATGAGACAAGGTTCTGTCCACTTCCATGATCTCAGTCCAAAGCAAATCGAACGTTCATGAACTTTCAAAGGGGTACCCTGGAAGCGGAAACCAGGGGTTTATAATGGTTTATACCTTCTGGGAAGGCCCTGGAAAGGTTTTTCAGCCAAAGAGTTGTCTTAGGAATCCCACGTCGGTATCACAAGGGGCCGGCGGGCCAAGGGGATGCTTCAGGGTTCTATTGGGGGTAGCCGAAAACTATCTTGGAAGCCTAAAATTTAAAGCCAGGTGGTGGCCCTTGGTGGGAGTTCCTTTCGACCCAAGTCGCTAAAGTACCTGATCACTTTATGGGACGGTGCCACCCTACAGTCAAATCAGATCGGTTTCTTCCCCTCTGGGAAGCCGCAGGTAGTCCCTGACATCGTAACCATGGGCAAGCCCTTTGGAAACGGCATGCCGCTGGCCGCCGTGGTGACCACCCGGGAAGTCTCAGAGGCCTTCCACAACGGCTTGGAATACTTCAACACCTTCGGGGGCAATCCTGTCTCTTGCGCGGCTGGCCTGGCGGTCCTGGAGATTCTACAAGAGGAGGACTTGCAAAGAAACGCTCTGGAAGTCGGGCAGTACATCCGCGAAGAGCTGCAAAAGCTGTCTCGGCAACACCAGCTGATCGGCGATGTGAGGGGCCAAGGCTGGCAAGAGATTACAACCGACCCCCCTCGGGCTACCACTTTCGTGTCAGAAAGGTTTGTATTTGTTTGGCCCATCCGAGAGTCGGGAAGTGAGGACAGGGACATAAAAATTGTTTGGTCAACAGTGGTTAGCTACAACACATCATGGTTTCAACCAGGGGCTGGCCCAAAAGGAGCTTGTTTAATCAACAGTGGTTGCCTGTAACACATGGTTTCAGCCAGGCACCCAGGGACCCGTTGGCCCAATGTTTGGTAACCCTACGGAGGTTCTCCGTTGCTGCGGATTTCTTTGACTTTGGCCGTTGCGAAACAAATTGTCCGTCGGCCCATGGTGAAGGCTTCTTCATCGGCGTGGAGTTTGTGAAAGACCGGAGCACCTTGGAGCCAGCCACTTTGGAGACCTCGCAGATCTGCTCGCGCATGAAGGATGAGCACCAGGCCCGCAACTCAAACCTCAGCCAGCTTTAAGAAGAATACGCAGTTGTGGGGGACCAAACTGATTGACAAACCTTTGGTTCGCTGAACGGGTGGTTCAAATATGTCCTCTAGATATGTATGGCTCTCATTCATGGCTCAATTTGAATTTGACACCCCCTACAACCCTTTAAGTGAGGCTTTAAGTGAGGGGCCAGCCCAAGCCATCTACTGCTCCAGTTAGACAACGTTTATGCTGCTTGCCTGTTTTCATACGACATTACCCGGTCAAGTCCGGATCAAACAAACATGTGGGACCTTCAATTATCACTCTCTTTTACACTTAGGGAAAGGGCTGTGATCCTTTTGATTTTCCAGGATTTTCACTCTTTACCACCGGATTTTAGATAGACCCCCTGCACCATGTTGATTCTGACTCAGGTTCTGATGAGCATCGATGGGCCCAACGACAACGTCTTGGTGATGAAGCCTCCCATGTGCTTCTCCAAAGGGGATGCAGAGTACATGCTCTCCGCCCTTAGCTCGATCCTGTCCAATCTGCATCCCATCGATACGACCAGCCAGCCCACGCCGACGTAAGCGCTTCGAAGGTTCAGGTGTCCAAAGCCGACCTGTTGCCGAGCCGAGTGGCTACCCGCAATGACGCGTTTGGGTAGAAAAAATGGGTAGGTGCTGCTGGCATGGATTCTGGTGGGTCCGAGGGGGATCAAGATTTCTAGCCTTGTGACGGGTTCTTTGGGGGCCACGATTCCCCGAAAGCTCCAGGCAATTGCCCTGTGGCTGGGTGAGCCAAAATGACTGGCGTACGGCATCCCCTTTCTATTTATTTTTGGGGGGCGTCCAAAAGGAGGCCAGCTTCCCACATGTTCCTTTTGTGGGTAAGGGGGCATGCTGCATCTGTGGCAGAGGCGCCCTGTTCCCACCTTGGGCATAGGCCAGCCATAGATTCAGCTCGCTCGCCAGGATGACTATCGCCGCGACGGGCGTCGCGAGGAGGATCGCTACGAGGATGACCGCCGTGGCCAAGGCAGAAGGGAGAGACCTCTGTGGACTGCCTGCGCCGCACTGTGAGGGTTCCAAAGGATCATTGGAGCCACACTGTGCTATTTTTTGAGAGTATGGTTTCAAACAAGTCCAAGAGGAGAACCAGCATACTTGGTTGCCTTTGTATTTGACACCTGCCCAGAACCCCCATGTGAGCCACACTCAAAACCGATTCGGGTAGATGAAGGTCAGCAAGGGCCAATCCCCTTGCCATAATTAGCTGCGGATATCCGCCTTCTTAATTCTTGCAGCATGGTTCTGGGTAGACCATTTCAATACCAAGTTTTGATTGTCACTCATTGGATGATACGACACCAACATATATGTTATTACGTTGATGAACCAATCAGGGCAAGTGTCGATTTACAACAGAAATGATGAATTTGATTCTTCTTGCCGGGATCATTCTAGCCCAGTGGTATGCTGTAGGCTGTCACCGACTTCTCATATTGATGAACCACTCATGACGAGCGTCGGTTTTCCACAGATGATGAGTTTTATCATTCCTGCGGAGGCTGTAGATCATGTTGATCTGTGGCACTTGAGTCCCTTCAGTTCCAGGTCGGGACGACGGCCGCCGCAAGGCGCGGCCAGTACAGCACCTGAACTTGAGGTTTAGTCAGGCCTTCCTGGTCACTGGGGTTACTGGGGATGGTCTCTCGGGATGGTTGTCAATTCTTTTGAGATTTTGGACTTTTGGGTGACAAGACTCTTTGTTCTTCTAGTTGGAAGCCACGATCACCACTGCAAGGGTTCCAAGTTGGTTGCACCATGGCAGGGAAGCTGCCTTGAGACCTATATGGGTCTGTCTCAAAATAGCGACCCGGATTGTTGGAGGGAGACCACAAGGAAATCGATTGAGAAATGCTCATAAATCAAAACGACCTTCAGAAAGCGGGATCCTTTTGATTTGCCTTGAACACAACCCCGAATAGGGTACCTTTAGAAACACGCTCAGTTGTTGAGTGGCTCCCTTTTTCCCTTTTTGTGGCGCCCCACTAAAATGGTCTTCCCAAAAAAGGGTTCCCTTTTTTTTCCAGGGTCACTGAACAACTGAGCACGAGATGTCCATATCTCAGATTACTTCTTCGCTCCACTCTTCAGGAGGAGTACCGCCGCGAGGAGCGGCAGGAGGACCGCTACGAAGATGAGCGCCGAAGGGGAGGCGCAGGCGCCGACAGAGAGCGGAGAGCGGGGCAAAGTCTCAACGAGCCATGATCAACACCGGGGAAGTGAACTTCCATTTGGTTAAGGATCTGTTTTATTTACCCCTGGTGGTTTTAAAAGGGAATCTCTTTTTACTGGAATGTAATATGTATATTTTTGCAGCGGGCGAACAAACCCAATGGAAGTGAAGGTTAGCAAGGGACAGTCCCAACCAGAATTAGGTGCGGCCGCCTTTGTAGTTTTCTTTGTCGACCATTTTCAATACCAGGCTTTGTGACTCATGGCTGGTTGCCCATCGTCTTACTCCCTGAGTTTCCGAGCTTGATCTGGCAGTGGCAAACAAAATTTTGTTCATTGATTTGTCTTGGCCAACTGAAGTGAGAAATCCAGATGGTATCCTCCCCTGAGAAAATGTAAGGCAAGACTCAAACCGCTGGTTTCCCATGCGTAGGACATGCCAGAAAAAAACCGATGGAAATCGCGGACCCCGAGAACCAAAATTACGCGCTTTCGGTTCCTCCGGCTCGTGTTTGTTCCTTGGTGTTGGAAGTCACTTAAGACTCCCCTTTTTAAGACTGATTGAAAAAAACAACAAGCAACAAGCTTTAAGACTCCCCTTTTTGGGAAAGTTCGCCGTAGAACATTGACATGCGGCACGGTTCCATGTGGCCATGGGGCAGAACCTATGGCGATCCCATTTTGGGGTGGATGAACATCAATTTGCCACCTATTTTGACGTTCACCAGTGGTACGAGGTTTTGACCCACAGCCACCATGTGTGTTCCATAGTTCCGACTGTCTCCACTTGCCTGCACCAACCGCCCCAGTAGCAATTATTTGTTTGTCCCTATGTTCAGGCTAACGAGTGGTACTTGAGCACACTGTTTTCCTGCCAGCAGCGTCCACACCCATGAATACAGGCGAAGGCTGGAGACAAGGAGCGAAGGATGCCAGCCTTGAACTCTTTACCATCTCAAGAGCATGGCCAATAGAACTATGCCTTGCTCAGATGTTCGTTTTTTGTTTTTTTTTTCTCGAACATTGGAACCCCCACACCGGAGTGAGGTTTTCCCTTTTGAGTTTTTTTTGGTAGTTTTCCTTTGGTTCCCTTGGACGCAATCCCGGGCCACCCCTTTCGTATCAAGCGAGAGACACGTTGTTCCCAATGGATGTTCTCCGGACCGTGCAGGCAGACGCCGCGAGGAGACGCGTGAGATCTGTGGGATCTGGGCGTGTCCTTTTTTGGAAAACCCGTCTTTTTGTGGTTTGTAAGGGAAACGAAAAGGAAAAGCACCATTTTGGGGCCCTTTTGAGGGTACCCTAAAACAAGACACGGGCATCTCAAGTGAATTCTTGTTGGATCTAGGGTGTCCAATCTCTACCCCCCAAATCGGTAGGGGGAGTTTCTTAACATGGGTTTCTCACAAAAACTTTAAGTTCACGACCTTCTCCTGGCAAAAGCAGGAGTAAACGATGAGATGAGGGAGAGAAACTTTAATAAAACCCACTTTTTCTTTCTCTCCTTCTTGTATTTTTCTTTTTTCCTATCTATCTCTTCTTCAGAATCCTTCCCACTGACGAGGTAACCATCATAATTCTACTAAAAGCAAAGGAAAAGATAAAGTGAAAGAAAGAGAAGAAGAAAGAGAAATCCTATCCTTTCCATAAAGACACATTTATATTTATCTTTACTTCTTCGTTAGAATTATTTTATTTTGGAAATCATTACATTTAGAAGTTACATCAGATTCATGTTGTTTTCTTATTAATATTTCTATCTTATTAATCTTTGCAAATATTATAATTATATTTATATTTACAGGATTTAATATTTATTGTTGGACTGGTTGGTTGATATGTACAGAGACACCGAAACAACACTATTCTTTTGAGGGACCTCTATTTTGTGAAAACCCATTGGAGGCTAGTATTTTCTTTTTTTCTCTTTTTTTCTTGGGTTACATAGTGGCTTGGGTGTAATGTTGGACCTGCTTTAATATGACCCCCGCCCGTCCGAACAGTGCCACACGTCATTTGGAGCCTCTTTAATCCAAAGGAGCGGGGGGGCATTTGTATTGCAATACTAATGTTGGTATTGCCAAGACTTCATGTTTCCAGTTCTTAACTTAGAATTAGCAGTTCTGAATTGAGTATTGCCAAGGCTGAGATTCCCAGAATTGTGCATTCCCAATTCTAGATTAGTGTTGGAAAGACTTAATCTGCGATGTCCAGTTGTCTTGGTAGTGGCTTGTTTGAGCTGGGAAGGGCTTACATGAACCACCCTTTAAAAGAAAAGGCTAAGGCTTTGAATTCGGAATCTCACCCGGAAACAAATCGTTGAAGAGGTCCGCAGTGAGGTTAACGAGGATCAGGGGCTCTTGTGGGGTACCCCCTGTGTCCTTTGTGTGATTGGTTGGCTTTGGTTGTTGTTAAGGGTTTTATTGTGTTCAAAAGTTGCCACGTCAGAAACAGGGAATCAATTCCTAGCTCTAAGGCCTTTAGGGCTCAGAAAAACCACCCTAAGTTAAAGGCTAAGGCTTTGATCTGGGAATTTCATCTCCGTCCAAAAAACGTGGCAAAGAGGAACCCCCTGTGAGTGATTGCTTGACCTTGGTTTTTAAAACGATTTTAGCAAAAGCACACGACGGACTCAGATAAACCATCTTTGAAGGCAAAGGTAAGGCTTTGATCTGATATTTCTTGGCTTGCGGGCCAAAATTGACTATCTCTTGGAAAGAATACTTTGTATAATTCAGGACACCACAACAGTCCCAGAATCCCGAACTGGGACAAACCTTTTCTACAATAGGAGCCCCATTTGCAAAACTTGTCCAACTTCTTCTTTGGCCTGTGCGCAACTTTGATGGGAAATGGTGAGAAAACCCGTTTTAAACCCCAAACCCTAAACCTCACACCCTAAACCTCAAACCCTAAACCCCAAACCCTAAACCCTAAACCAGTGCTTCTCAATCTCAGCAACACAAACCCGGCGCCGCCCGGCGAAGCCCGTGCGACTGCCAGACTGCCAGGAGCGGCCGCGGTCGCGGTCTCGCGAGGCCAGAGGGCCTCTCACTCGGGGCACTTCTTCCCTCTGTACGTAGAGGGCAGTCCCTGTACCCCCTGCTCAAAATACCTGGTTTTTGCAGGGTATTCTTGGGAAAGCCTGGTTTTGCATGGTAAATACCTCCTTTTTTGATAGAGGGTCGACATGATACCCTGAAAAAACGAGGGTATTTGGAGTAGGCGGTTTTAAAAACAAAGAGATGCACTTCTGTATCCACTTTTTCTAACTTGTGATACTCACCCTTTAGAAAACGGGATCCACTGTGAGACTTTTGGGCCTTCCTTTCGAGGCCCTTATCACAGAACTGGATCTCATTGAACGGTCGTTTAGCAAAACGCGATTCGGTGTCCGAATCCACTCAAACTGAGTGAACTCTTGCTACCCCTTTACCAAAATGCTTTTTCCCTGCGACAGTCTTGAACTCCGTCGCTTGCCCTCTCTGGCTTGGTTTGCCTATTCGAACACAAGGCTGGAGAGGCTTTCGGGGACTCCCTGGATGGTTGCAAAGGGAGGCAAAAATAGCAGGTGCCGAAAATGTCGAATGCCCCTTGGTGTTCCTTCACCAATATTTGCTTGTTTTCCTCCTTCCTAAAACCCTGTTTGGTACAAATGTCCCGAAGTGAAATCATAATTTTCTGCCACCCCTCAGAACGCGTCCAAATGAGCCCCTGTGTCTAGGTCCCCCAGTGGTGCGCTTTTACCTACTACAGAAAAAGGGTATCCTTATTCTAACCTCTCTACTGCAGGAGGTGCGTTTTCTTTGACGCCACCGCTGCTTTTTGCTTGCCTCGTTCGCCTGGAGGCGGCCTAGGGAGGCGGCCTAGGCCAGGTTCTGCCCTCAGCGCACGAGGCAGTTGCGTGTTGCAGACCGGATTCTTGTGCTACGGCATTTGGTCATCTTTCTAGGGGTTGATTCCTCTTCCATTCTTTTCAAGCATCGTTCTTTTCAAAAACCAGATCCGTTTTCCCCGGGAGTCCGGAGTTTTGCTAGAAAGAAGGATGCCTGGAAAAAATGGGAAAGGTTCTTCTAGAATGCTAGGTAACGTTCTACTTGATTTCTTCTGCGAGGTTGAGCGGGAATATCAATATGGGGCCGGACGCGAACAACATGAACATATTGACACAAAATACTTATATTGAGAAACATGAATCTATGTTCTTATCTCAATCTGTATATTTAGTTTAACCTATTCTTTCATATTGCGAATTTCTGGCAATGAAGATTGATACACATGTTGTTATTGATACACATGGTGTTATTTATGATATGTTTGTTAGGGTTTAAGCTATGTTGTTGGAATATTAAAGAATGATATAAAATTATTTAAATTATTATAGATTGGTTTAATAAAGGTTTTATTTAATGTATTTGTTCGGGGAATGATAGGTGGTTTATTTAAAAACAATGAAAATTATATTGTTTGGAATATATAAAAACAGGTTTTGAATATTAATATGTAGTATTATATATATATTATATGGAAAAATGAGGAACAAATAATATTTATATTGGAATATATATTTATATATGGAAAATATATAAAATATATATATATTATATAAATGTAAAGGAAATTTATATTTAACATATTAATAATTTTTATAATATTTTAAGGACATGAATAACATATGGTATTTAGATATATATATATAATTTGAATTTTATAATAAATATAAATTGAAAATATATTTTAGAATATATTTTTTTAAATATTGAATTGAATTGGTTTTTGATTATTTATTATATTAATATTTAATATAAATATATATATATATATAATTTAAATTTTATGTATAAAGATATTATATTTGTTTATTTGGCTATATTTTTTTGGTGTTGATTTTTAAAGATATTTATATATATATATAATGTGGAATTGTTAAATAAGAAGGAGAGTTGATATTATGGTATGTGGTATGTTTGTTGAGATAATGATAATGTTTGTATGGTTTAAAATATAACAAACTATTGAATTATCATATATTTATTGAATATGATATGTGGATAACTATATATATAGAAATTAGCTATGATTGTTATTTTTGTTTTTTATATTTGATTAATTTATATAAAATATATTAGTTATAATATTTTTATATTATTGTATATTTATATTTTTAATATGTTAATTATTGAAAATTATTGTTTGATTATATATTTTTTATAATATTAAATTAATAAAATGGGGTGTAGTGAGGTATATTTATTCGCATAGAGGTGATTGTATATGTTTTTAGTTATATTGATTTAAATAACATTCTGTATTGTTATTTTTATGTTGAATGAATTTTTATATTACATCATTGAAATTGATATAGCTCCGCATTAAATAAAATATAATGGGTTTAATAGAAATCAATTAGATATTCGGAAATCCTATATCCAATAGAAAAAAATATTTATTTAATTAATTATCTAAATATATATTAGAAATAGAATAATATAGAAAATAATAAATTATCATTTTTAGATATTAAAGGAATATTTCATGATTTTATTTGTAGTTTCCTGGGACGAATCTATAATTATGTGTTAGAATTGAGGGGTTATGAATCTTGGGATATTCTTTCGGATGTCTTTTTCGGGTATAATAGAATTTCCGAAAATATAAATATCGTGCAATATAAGATTATTAAGTTTTATTGATTCATGGATAATAACGATTTGATTTCGGGTTCATCGGGAAGTATTTTTCTTTTCTTATTATTATATTATATTTATATTATTCAATTTAATGAAATGGGTTGGCCCTCGATATGATAGGATATATTTTTGGATAAGGGATGTTAATCTAAGACAATTTATTGTGTGGCATTGTTTCGGGTTGAAAAATCTTAATATTTTAATATTCATCTATAAATTCAATAATGGAAATGAATAAAACGATATATATCTAATATTATTCCGAATCAATAATTAATTATATATTAACCTATAGATATGTCCAAATTAAAATTTGATTTGAAAAATCTATTAAAGATATTACTCGAATTATTTCATATTATCAATTTTATATATGAATATTATGATAAAATAAGAATACACAAACTAATCTAGACATATACCAAAAGAATTAGGTAATATCCCTAATAACATATAATATTCTTTTTAATATTCGAGAATCTCATGGAATCCTAATGAAATTCAAATCAAAATTTAACGAATTTTTCGTGGAATCTATCTTTCATGGTCGTCCCCGAACCATCCCGGAACCTATCTAGACTAATACCCCAAAATTTTAAATTATTAGAAAAATAGAGATTGATTTATTTAATATATATATATAATATTATTTTATTATTTAATTTAAACACAAATATATAATTTAAATATAATAAATTTAAATAATTAAATATATATTTAAATATTTACTATTCAAATAATAATAATTTTTAAAATAATAATATTACTTCATAATCTTCGCAAATTCTTATAATATCCTACAACCGCCACGAAATCCTAATGGAAATCTATTAAAACCTTCGCAGAAGCTTTTCTCAAGGCCCCAGCCCTATCTAGTAAGATCCCCAACATCTTCCATTATTAAAACCTCCAAAACCTTTCTTAAATCTTGCACCTAACCTTCTCTAAGCTAAAAATCCCACCTTAAATTTCAATTATTAAAATTTTATATTTTTAATTATTTATATTTATATTTTATAATATAAATAAATAATTTATAAAATTTTATATATAATTAATGTTTATTCCTTTCCATAATCCTTAAATATTTTATATAACCTTTTTTTTTCACAATCTTTATAATATTATAATTCTAAAATTTCTATAAATCAATTCAACCCCCATCGAAATAACAACCTCCAAATTCTATATTTTCTTAAAAACATATATCAATCCATATATGAATTATTTTAAATATATTATAAATAATAATATTTATATATAAATAAATTAAATATATTCACATATTGTGGTTGTTAAATGCCCCAATCTCAATAAACACCTCATCCTCACAAAAAAATGTCATAATACCTTCATAAAAACCTAATAAACATTAAATCCTCACCCCAAAAACCACCCCAAAAAATCTAAATAATTTAAGACTCACAAATTAATTCAATTATTAAAAAACAAAACAAAATAATAAACAAATAATATCAATCATAAATTTCAATAATTTCAATTCATAATATATATATATTATATTACTATAAAATTATTAAAAACATATATTTATTATTATATATTATTAAAATAATATATTGAAATTTCTTGTAATATAAATTTATAATATATTTTTATTGTTTAATTTATGGTATTTGTTTAATTTGTAATATTTACACGAAAAATAAGGTATAATATTTTACCCCCCCGATTTGTAATAAAAATATAGTAGAAATTCCCGGAAATATAAATGGTGATGTGGTATTTTTCTTTTAGTTATACCGTTTTCTGGTTGTTTTATAGGCTAATTTTTTCGTCATAAACAATTCTAAATATATAAGAATATAATTTAATTAAATTAATAAAATATATTTAAATATTAAAATCTATTATATATTCAATATAAAATATAATATCCAACCAAATCCTATATAATTAATTCATTTTTTTTTTACTAATACAATCTTTAATATTATAATAATAACATATATAATTTATGTAATATTATTCCGATTATTATTTATATATATATCATTTATATTTTAAATATTAAATAATATATATATATATATATTTCGAATTATATATATTATTCATTCATAATTATTTTAGTTATCCAATTACTATTCATATCGATAATGGTTTCATTTCAGTCCAAAGAATTCACCATTTCAAGTGTCCAAATTAGTTTTTACACAAATTATAGCAAAGAGCTCTGGCACAAGAACGAGGCTCTTTAGAAGTGCCCAAAATGCCAAGGCCATGGGCAGCCTTCTACATCTTACTTGCCCAAAAAGACCCCAGAGGTAATAAGGTGATGACCTTTTGGGGCCATAACAAAACGGGACAACAAGGTGAATAGCTCGAATTGCTTTGGACAAATGAGTCATTGAATGCAACACATCGGATTCGATTGCCGCAGCCACGTCATCCACGTAATATTCTGCGTGCACTTGCCTTTTTTGGGCTGCACCACATCCTGCTCATTTTGAAGTGTAGCAGGCCACTGGCACATTATCGACCCCCCGCACTGGGAGATTGAGCGCCGAAAACTCGATTGGTCCTCCCCTTGGCGTGCTTTCAGGCCTGCTACTAACGCCTGAAAAGGAACCGGACCCAATCCCGGTTGCCCGAAGGACCTGACCGTAAAAGGCTGAAGGCTGCTTCACTCAAAGTGGACCAAAAGAGAAAACCAGAGGATAAAAGATCCATTCGCTTTGACCAGTAGGACTTGGTTTTAATGAGTTTTAGGCGCTGCGTCGCTGGACTTCGCCTATGGCGATGTCAAGGACGCGAGATACTGCAAGAGCTCTTCGGTCTGGCGGGCTGAGCGGCTCTTGTAGCCGCGGTCGAAGAAGGGGATAGAGACACCATGCTGCAGCACCTAAACTCAAAGGACCCCAGACGTAAAAAACTAGGTCCAGAGAGGATAGAATAGGGCAGGGAAACCCTCCCCCAACAAAAAGGTAAAAGGGCACTACTCAGGGAGCTAGAAAAGGTGAATCCTGTAGGGCTGTGACCAAGTGTGGACAAGAACCAACCAAAAGGTCCCCAGCCTAAAACCTCCGGAGCCACGATCAAGCGGGGTTTGCCCCTCGAGAAACAACTGCTGACCAAGTTCTCCCACGGGTATCTCGAGAAAGCACCCCGAATGAATGGGTCGTTTCCTTTGGCTTCATTTTGACGCCAAGTAAAAAGCTATTCTATGAGTTGCTTCCCCATTCTTTCCAGCCATCGTTCTTTTAAAAAACCGGCCGTTTCCCTGGGTTTCCGGAAGTGTTCTAGAAAGAAGGATCCCTGGAAAGAATGGGGAAGGTAGCACTAGAGCCATGTGGCTATTGCCCCCTTTAATAAAAAATCGTCACTTGTTTCAGCTGGTCAGTGGGGAAACATCTGCTAGGTCCTCCAGTAGAGAGGTTAGAATAAGGGTGCCAACTTTTTCCTGTAGTCTATTTTAATAGGGGAACCCTCCCCCAAAAAAGGGTAAAAGGGCTGGGGGGACCTAGCCCGTTTTCGCACAAAAACGAAGCCAGCCACAGCCACCCACCGCCTCCAGGGGAGTCTTGTTGGCAACGGCGCCCCGCGTCGCCCGCTCGTTGGGATCGGCGCGGGCCGAGATCAGTTTCTTGGCGAGCTGGACGTCTCCGTCCCACATGCCTGTGGCAAGCCCCCTTATTCTAGGGGTTGATTCCCCATTCTTTTCAACCATCGTTCTTTTCAACAACCGGCTGTTTCCCCTGGGTTTTTGATGGTTTCCTGAAAAGAAGGATCCCTGGAAAGAATGGGGAAGGTACCCCTAGACTTATGGGTAGAGTCAACCAGGTACCTCAGAAAAGAAAACACACATACTCAGCATTTTGAATCTCATACCGGATAAACTCAACACATATTTTGGTTGAACCCCCCCCTAAATATATATATATATATATATATTAAAGCAAAAACAGAGCAGGTCCTCAGAACCCAAACCAATGCAGGGGGAACCGGCATGCTAACATAGCACTGTGTGCCCTTTTTCACTGGCTGTGGCTCAAAAATCCGGAATTCCAAAATGGGTTGCCCTAAGTGGTTCCCATGGACCAAAACCCTGCGGTTTGGCCCCCCCCTGTTTAATTTCGAGCCACACTCCTTTGAACTGCGAGATTGAACCTGGTTGAACAGACCGCACGGTTCCAAGCCCCGAGCCAGCGGCTCAGCTTGAAGCAATGAGCCGGCAAAGCCATGGAGAATTGACAGATGGCCGGGCCTGGCCACGAAATCCTGCACTACTTTGAAACCATAACAAACCATTGGTTCGTTGGTATTTACAGGGGAAGCATCACCCCAGGGATTCTTAGGTGGTGCAGCATTTCGTCCATCCACAGTATTAAAGATGCTCAGTTTTCAGGGAAAGAAACCAGAAGGAACTGAGGCGAAACATGGAACACCTACCATAAGTCTCACACACAGCGCCACTTACATGGCATCGTTGTTCCTTTGTTAGTTGGCGTATGTTCGCCATTTTTGGGCAAACGGCAAACATGGGCACAATAGTTTTGAAGCTAACGTGGCGGTGTGCATGACACCTCAGGCTTAAAACAAGACAAACCATGACAAATGCTTCGTATGTGTCAGGGAGATGGAGGGAGCGTGCTGCATAAGCATCGATCAACTAGGGCAGCAGGCAAACTATGACAAATGCTTCGTGCAGGCACACAACCTGATGCTACAAATGGCACGACAGCACGGGACCTCTGGCACGAGCCGAAGCTAAACCAACCAACCAAACAGGGTATTGCAGGAAAGGGACAAAACCAAAATGAACTCCTCAAAGTGACACAGTATGGGCCTTCAAAGCCTAGCTGCACATGGCATGAAGTACTGATCGTCCACTGGCATCACATATAGAGGCATCTGCCCGCGCATCGAGCAATGACTGTAGCAAGGCAGTCCGGCCGCTAAAGTCTTCCCATTCGCTGGCTGTCCGGCTACGCTCGGCCATGAAATGCAACGGAGTCTTCATGCCGAACTGGCGCAGCTGCACGTTGCAAAGAAGCGGATTTTCCTTGAGGTGGAACTCGACGATGTCGACTTGTCGTCGGACAATTGCCTCAAAGATTGTAAGTTTGGCTTGTTCTTCCCGGACTTTCGCTCGTATGCCTCAGCAAGCTGACTTGTCACAAGCTCAAACGACACCCAACATAGGCCGTAAAGCTGACTCAGACTCCAATCAAAACCTTCACCAACTCACATCAGATGCTGTCATCAAACTCGTCAATGCCCATCGTCTGCTCGATCTCAGCTAAAATCATTCGCCGGTCCTCGTCCCGGCTCGCCTGCGCATGGTGGTTTTTCGTACACCCCCCACCCCCAAGGCCCATAATCAAACAGCACTTTAAAAGGGCCTGAAAGATGTTTGTGCTGTGTTACAACCCCTCTTTTGCCAGGAAATCCAAATTCAACTATATAAAAGATAGATTTGTGCTCTTTGGCCGGCTGCGTTACCCCCCCCCCCCCCCGTTTTTGGCAGGCAACACCCCCAAACCGCACAAGCCTTTGGCCTGTTCAAAAAATACAGCGCCTGAGCCTCCCGAACACTCAGCAGGGCAAAGCTGATGTTACTGGTGATCGTGCCGCAAAATTCCGTCCGCATGCCCATAGCCAGCGCAGTTTGCAACTCCTTGAGGACCTGGGCGTGCCGAAATTCGGAACGTACGCATGCCGCATGCCCCTCATATGTGGCAACCCCTGTTAGAGGAACCGGCGAGCGTTTCTTTGCTAGTGCCCGTGAAAAATGGGACACATGGAAGAAATGGGCGGCTCCTCTTTTTTAGGCGGACCGCCCAACATGCATTGCGGTTTTTGGCATCTTGGTTTCCCTTTAGAACCACCAAAGAAGGGTACCCTCGAAAAAAAACGACACACCCACATCTCCTTTTGGAATGCTGGGAAATAGACAAGTTGTTGTCTGTTTAGGACAGCAACCATCTCAGAGGTTGCCTGCAAAAAAACCAAGGGAAAAGCAAATGGAACCGAACTACTTCCATTTGCTTAGGCCCCCTGGAAAAAAAACAAACATATTTACGATAGTGATAGATTCCCTTTAAAACCAACAGGGCAAAATAATAACTTGAGGAGCGAGTGAACGAAAGCTAGCAGTTGTTGCATGAGATGGGTCGGTGACAGAGTGGATTCATGGGTAGCTTGTGCACAACGAGAGGCCCGGCAAGATTCGTAGGATGCGACACGCAAACGCACATGGTGGCGTGGCAAACCTTGAAAAATAAAAACAACGAGAGGCGTCAGAAGCTGTCTTAAAGCACCTCTGGGTTCTGCATGCTGCGTGTGCAACGATTCTTCCGAGGTGGTTTACTGAGAAGACTGAGGTCTCAAATGAACAAGCTGAATCGGTGGAACATGTAAAAGTTCGTAGCACCAAGTCCAAAACGGGCAAACCGAGACTGCTGAACACTGAGCCACTGCCCGGGGGGGGGGGGATGGACCAGGGAGGAATCGAGCCTGGGACCGGGGGGGGGCGGGTCTAAATAATTGATGTTTTTCAATCTTTTCGGCTCAAATAATTGAAAAAATCAATCTTTCGGCATTTGAGCCCCTTACCTTGCTTACGCAAGGAGAAACTTCAGCTAGCTAAAGCTAGCTTTCGTGATAATAAAACAAACAAACAAACATATTCTTAACCAAATGGATGACGATTCATCGCAGGTGCCCAAATCCTTTTAAAGGTCTCCAGCTCCCGGTCAGCTGCAAGGGCATGCTCCTTGAAGTGCCTCATCATGAGCCCGAACTTGTCCATTTCACACCTCGGCTGATTCGACCCCCCCTTCTTGCCTGGTGTTTCTCGTTCTTGCCGAGAGGAAGTGATTGACACCTCCTTGGTACTTGTCGTCTTTTTTGATGCCAAAAAGGAAATGCTGGGAACCTTGCTTGGTATTTCTTGCTTTTTTGCCGCCAAAAAGGAATTTGTGTTGCACGCCCGAAGAGGCAATGCGTGAACACATGCTAAGCCTTCGGTCTGTCAATGGCGCAAGGGATGGCCATTGAGATACTTCACGGCGCCGCAGTCGCAGGGGTTGGCCCCTGTGCCGCAGATCGACTTGTGCTGATTCACACCGAAGATGCACAGCCAGTACGTCTTCTCCAGCTCTTCCTCGCTCAACAACTTCCTCAATTCGTGGCCGGAATCATTTTTCATTTGGCCACCCAACTCCCTAAAGGTCGCGCGCGTGCTCAGGGACCGGAATCCCTCCATTGGTTCGACCGGAAGAAGTCTCGAGTAAGGGCTGCTGACCTGACTCAACGCCCAGAGGTGCCAAGGTACCAGGCCAAGCTCGCTTCCCCCCCAAAAAAAAACACCAACAAACACACACGCACGCAAAAACAACCACAACAAACACAACTAAACATACCATTGTTTCGGGTCCATATGCTGGCTGTGCCTTCTTCTGAGGACAGGCACTCCCTGTTTTGTGGTTTTAAAGGGAAGCCAGGAGGAAGCCGACATGTTTCTTTTTTGTTTTTTTGTCTCCGGATTTTTTTTGGGGGGGCGAGGTTCCCTAAAAGAAACACACACCCACTTCGTGAACCTTCTGTCAAAAGAGATCCGGAAAATGCAAAGCGCCAGCTTTGAACCAAGCTTCTCTGAGGGCAGAACCTGCCCGGAGGCATGACCCAGAATGGCCTCCACCAGAGACATGAAAGAGTGGCCCCACCAGTGGGACATGAGGCCTTGGTGACTGCCCCTCTCTGAATAGCCAATATTGTGACTCTTTTGGAGGGGGAAAAATAGTTAATAGGGGGCGTGTAGGGTAGGGTATTTTCAGTTCAGGGTTTCAGGGTTCAGGGATGAAATTAAACAAGCAAACCATTTTGTTCAAAACACCAAGGGGGATTGTGGGGATTGTTTCTTAAATTTCCCAACATTTTTTTACAATTTTTCAGATTGAAGGGGTCTAAGACATTGTCTGTTTCAGGGTCTATGTTATGGGCGTTGTTATGGTTTGTTGTTTGTTGGGGTTTCCCGTCGGCTACGCCGTGCTTCGTGCTCATCCTCATCAAGTTCAAGTGTGTCGGAGCACCCAGATGTTCATCAGCGTCATTGTCAATCAAGTGAAGCCAAGTGGATTGAGCATTGTATAAAAAAAAAACCCGTAGCATTTTCTGATTTCAAGAAATCCTTGTGTCATCGCAGACCTCATTTGTCTCCATGGCTCCAAAGAAGGTGGAGAAACCATCAAGCTCCAGCGACCCAGCCAACTACATCAATGACGATGAGGAGTTGACCGACGATCGGGTCAATGAGCTTTGTGATATCTTGGGCAAGCTGTCCTTGGATGACCTGATGAAGATGGATGACTTTCTGGCTCAACAGAAAGCAGAGCTCGAACGGCTTTCCAAAACCAACAAGGAGAATCATGTTTTGGTGAAGGAGGCCCGCAACATCTTGGAAGCACCAGTGAAGGAGGAGAACCGCAAGAATAAGCAGAAGGAGCGTGCAGCAGTCGTCAAAGAGACCAACCGCCAGAACCGTGAGAGGGTAATCAACCTGGTTGTCAAGGTGAGGGTGCGCAAGGCATTCGACGAGGATAAGTGGATCACCATCAATGTGTCCATCCTACGCAACAAGTCCATGGGGGCAGTGAAAAATGAGGTCTGTCGCCAGATGGACAAACGAGTCCCGCGTGGCCACAGCAACATGTTTTTCATCAAGAACGCAAAGGACGGGGAGGAGCTGTACAACCACGGAAAAGACCGCCTCAGTCTCAAAAGAATCAACAAGCTCAACCTCGAAGACGGCAATGTCCTGACGTTCTCCTTCGGTGATAATCCTGAGACACCGCAGGTGGTGGAGCAGGAGACCACCAACATTGCGGTCAATGAGGTGGACGGCGAGGACAGTGAAAGTTCTGATGAGCCCATCATGGACTCCAGCGATGAGGGTGAGAACACTGAGCCTGACAATCAGTAGTCATCCTGATATCCTCAAATGCTTCAAATGCCCTGTGAAACGATGTATCTTCGCAATTATATGCCTTATCTAAGATAAGCACAGCTGTGTGTCGAAGTTTGGGTTGAAGCATGGCATTACCTGTCAGAACATCACTCATCGCTACTTGAAGTGAAAAAGGACCTTAATTCTTGTTGATTGTCTTTATACTGTTTGATTGTCTCTGTGCTCTGCTTGAAGTTGTGAATGCTTGACCATAGCCATTTGTGGTTTCAGTTTCATCTGCCACGCATTTTGAGACCCTCTACTGACAATGGTACGAAGCCGTGTCATTAAGAACTACTTGAAGACCAAGGGCGAAATCATCAATGAGATGGTCAAATCGTCTATGTCTTTGCTCAAAAAGCGGAAGGCGGAGTTGTCCGATGATGCTTCGAGCACCATACCACCTTCGCTGACAAGTTCAGTTCAACCAGTCTTGGAGCGTATATCAATGGCAAGGTCAAAATTACAGGAAAACCAGCCGGTTGTCTCCAAACTACTTGAAGAACTGTCAGATGAACAACTTGGCGCTTTGAAGAAGGCGTTTGGCAAAAAGAAGAAGGTGTCCTTCACAGAGGAGCGACTTTATGATGGAGCTCACATCGCCTTGGCTGACCTTGCTATGCTTGAAGAGTGGTCTACCTACATCTCTCACTTGCGTGGGGAAATAATTGGACTATGGGTCGCCTCCTTTGCCCAAGAATTTCACCAAGACGACAACAACAACGGTATCCACTACTCAAATGAGTTGTTTGTCAAGGCGTTGGATGAGAACATCAGTTATAGACGTGGAATACGCAGGGCATCCTCTACAAACGAACCACCTGTGGAAAGACCTGATGAAGGACGATGCTGTGTAATGTAATTCAAATGCTTTTGTCCTCGAAGACCAGCAGTTGAAGCAGGAGAAACCATTTCATCAAAAGCCCCGCCTTCATTTCATCAAAAGCCCCGCCTTCATTTCATCAGTGTTGAGGATATCATTTCATCAGTGTTGAGGAAATCATTTCATCAGTGTTGATGATTGGGTATTCTCCTCCATTTGCTGACTTGGACTTTGTGCTCTGGCACGCTCGGTGCGAAAACCGCACCATCTGGGGTTGGGTGGTCTATTCCACCTTGTGTTTTTTTTTTATGGTAAATGACAAACTCATCTCTTTTCTGGGGTTGCCTATGTGGAAAAAATGACATGCCTTTTGCCCGTGTGAGTGCTGAGCCTTTCATCTGTCTTTATCCTTTTGGGTTTGCTATGACTTTGCGACTGCCTGAGGTTTGGAAGTCATCCAGAACATTGCCTACCAGACTGCCACCATTCAGGTTCAACCGAAACCCTAAGGGAGCATCATTGTTTATTTTTCTGTTTGGTCAAGGGTTCAAACAAAAGCATTCAGGGAGTGATTTTACCAAGCAGGATGGGTCGGACGGAGGGTCGGTCGGTGTTGTGTTTGTTTTTCTCAACCCCTTCAACCCCTTCAACCCCTTCAACCCAATTGTTTTCAATGTTGATCCCAACCCCAATCCCATAACCACCAAACATAAACAAAACTACTTAAAGAGAAAATACCTTATATAGTATAGATATATGGCAGGGGAATACAGTTCGGGTTCAGTAATTGACTATTTGTTATCCAGTAAAGAAGCAACCATAAAAACAGGGAAGAATAACAAACCATTGAAAAAACTGATCATCAACAACAAATAATACTATGACAACAAAGACAAACCATTATCCACATCACTTCAAAACAAACTCAATCAAGTCAGCAACGCACAAGGATTCAAACGATTTAATCTTCTAAAAAAACATCAAACACAATGAGAGGCATTAAAACAATCCAGAAATACAGATTAAAAATAGGAGCAAAAACATCAGAGACATTTTCGGCATTGAAAGGATATGCCAACACATATTCCATAACCAACATACCATTCAAGGAATACAAAGGATTAACATATCTTTTATGGCAAGAAACGAAACTAACAGAGTTTTTACAACAAGCAAAATCAATGAAACTACTGATTGATGTTGAGGTTCTGTTTCATAAAGTTAATGTAGGTGGTGATGAAACAGAAGACACTGTCAGTGCATCAAACACGCTCGGAATATCTACCAAAGATGAAAATGATGTACAAATAAAACACAATATGAGAAGCAGGAGATATAACATTCTAAATGTAGGAGACTTGAAAAAAGCCTTGGAAAATATGCCTAAAGATATTGAACTACAAATTGAAAACTCACCTTTGAAACATTCAGGATTGAAGATTAATAAGATTAACAAAATCACCATCCACTACGACAAATACAATCCGAACAGAGCAGGAAGATATATGGAACTACCAGAATGGATTTCAAAGAAAAAGGCATGTATCAACATACAGAATGAAGATGAGTTATGTTTTAAATATTGTGTTTTGTGTAAAGTTTATGAAGTCTTCAAGAAAGACCATCCACAACATATGAGACACTACAAGAAATTAATAACTACTGAAAGTCTAATTAAACGGGATGGTGTGAATTTTCCAGCATCCAACGATGACATTGACACATTTGAAACAATTCACCAAAATTCTATATCAGTTAACGTTTATGTTGAAGATGTGAACCAAACCATCAGAGCAGACAGAATAACAAAAATTGAAAGACCATCTTGTCATATTAATTTGTTACGAATTGAACAAAACAACAATGACCATTATGTTTTAATAAAAGATTATAATAGATTAATGGGTAGTCAAACCAACAATCACAAAACAAAGATATTTCATTGTATTTACTGTCAGCACGGTTTTCAATCAGAAAAACTTTTAAATTCTCACTTAATAAAAGGTTGCATGGCAAATGAAATTCAACAAGCAAAAATGCCAGAAGAAGGAACATCAATGAAGTTTGAAAAGCATTTTAAGAAACTGAAAGCGCCATTTGTTATTTACGGTGATTTTGAATGTTTAACAACAGAAACATCAGAAGGCATCAAAGGGACTTATCAGAACCATAAACCCAGCGGTTATATGCTTAACCTTGTTAATGCTTATAGTGGTGCAATGAAACAACTTTTATATAGAGGCGAAGATTGTATTGAACATTTTTGTGAAACATTAAACAATATTAGAGATGATGTTATGGAACAAATGAAATAATCAAAAGATATTGCTATGACAGATTTAGATGAAATTAAAGATTTAGAAGCTAAAAAGTGTTTCTTATGTAATGGCGCTTTTGACAACAGAGTAGAAGCGAAAAAGAAAGTTGCTGACCATTGCCACTTTACTGGATTATACAGAGGAGCGGCACATATGAAATGCAATATAGACTATTGTTTTAACAAAATATCATATACCAGTATTCTTTCACAATCTTAGAAACTATGATGCTCACCTAATAATTTCTAATCTTGAAAAGCTAAACACAAAGAAAGAAAGCATATCAGTAATAGCACAGAACAGTGAGAAGTTTATTACATTTTCATTAAACAGACTTGAATTTAAGGATAGTTTCAGTTTCTTGTCATCATCATTAGATAAACTGGTTAAATTGACAAAGTATGAAGATAATAAATTAAGGGACAACTGGCAGGAAAATTTCAAATACAGTTTCAAAGGCAAATACATTAAAAACAAAAAAATATTTATTTTTACTGACAGAAAAGGGAGTTTATCCTTATGACTATTGTAATGACTTCAATAAATTTAATGACACTGAACTACCAGAAAAGAAACATGTTTATAGTAGATTAAG